TGACCTTTCTTATGTATATTGATATTACAATTTATCGTTCTTTTTCTTTTTCTGTTAATAAATATATACCATTTGTAATTTTTCTCTCTATTAAACTAAGACTGTGCTTTGTATGACGCCCGCTTAGATTGACGTGTTTGTCATATCCCTTCGATGTCATTATAAGCGGATTCTACTGTACTTCAGTATTTATTTATTGCTAAAATTGGTAGCTCGCACTCTTGTCATTAAAAGGTATTGTAGGATGCTCTTATTCAATTGTTCAAAGCAGGTTAAGTCCTTGATCGAAACAAAAGACTAGATTTAGGTTCATGTGACGAGAACTGTCAGCTAGAGGGGGTTGTGATCGAATAGGCGCCTGCTTCTAGTAGCAACTACAATTGACCAGGGTGCGAGTGGTCTCAAGTCATACTTTCGTTAAATAAAATTATAATAAAACAGTTATTCCTAAAGCCACAAACAACAACATAACTGCAAACTGGATTCTGTTATTCGAAATAAATCATTGATCTTACTTTATACTATTTGCAAATGTACTGCCAGCTTGTTTTAAAGTGTTTATTTTCGAAATTTGATTTTTTTCGATTGCCTCCCTCTTATCTTGGATCTCATTAAGGCATTTCTGCTTCGCCACGGTTAGTTCAGAAATGAGACATTTCATGGCACTCTCCGATTTGCATTCGTTAATTTTCTCTTTCATTTTACCGAGATTTTCGTGAAAATTCTTTATCATCTTCTGCATTTCAACGTAATAATTAGTAATGTCTTTCTTTAAATTCAAAAATACTTCATCTACCCCCTAAAACAAAGGAAGTTGCTTTTCAAAAGTGACAAAAATAAGAAAGAGCAGGATGAGAAGAAAAAGGCTTATGCGTCTACATTAATTGCGGATAAGGAAGACTAGGACTACTTGGATCAAGCAGTTTTTGTTGGAGACAGAGTTTGCCAATTAAATCAGTATCTAAAGTCATGACTGCCAGTCCTGCATCCTGACACTAGAAACCATTGTTTGGAGAAAACATTACATAGTAATAAGATAATTCGAAGTGGTCTGCATTCTATCGAAACTGCCAGACGCGGATCGCGATTTCGATTCTTGTGGATCTCACCAGCGCGTCACAGGCAGCTCTGACAGAACACAGACCAACTTTTACCTGCTGTCTTAACAGTGCGTTTTAGAAAATACTACAAATGGCGCAGTAAACGCCATCTGTGGCACGATGCTACATTTTAGGATTACGTATGCTACAACAAGGTCCACTTGTGTGGATATCTACTTGCTGAAAACGAATCCCGGCGTAGCCAACCTCAACGTGTTAGGCACGTTAGCTTAATCGAATAAAATATTTCGAAGTGGTCTGTATTCTGTCGAAGCTGCCAGACGCGGATCGCGATTTTGATCTTTTCGGATCTCATCAGCGCGTCGCGCATCAGCGTGTAGCATCGTGCCACAGATGGCGTTTACTGCGCCATTTGTAGTATCTTCTAAAACGTACTGTTAAGACAGCAGGTAAAAGTTGGTCTGTGTTCTGTCGGAGCTGCCTGTGACGCGCTGATGAGATCCAAAAAGATCGAAATCGCGATCCGCGTCTGGCAGTTTTGACAGAATACAGACCACTTCAAATTATTTTATTCGATTAAGCTAACGTGCCTATCACGTTGAGGTTGGCTACGCCGGGATTCGTTTTCAGCAAGTAGATATCCACACAAGTGGACCTTGTTGGAGCATACGTAATCCTAAAATGTAGCATCGTGCCACAGATGGCGTTTACTGCGCCATTTGTAGTATTTTCTAAAACACATTACATACTGTCTGGAAACGCCCGATGCCATATTGGGTTTGCTCCTACATACGAACAAACTACTTTCGAACTGACAAAAATGGGGACCAGGACAAAACTGATTTCGATCAGGTGATAGTAGGTTACATGTTTTTAGTAAAGATGAAGAGTTTCAATCTCGTAAATTGGAACCAGTGAGGAACTTGACTGCACATTGGATTCGTTTAGAATTACTTGCAGGAGCAAACCTATTACTATACCCTGTACATTGACTCATAGAAATTAATAATTACCGCTTTATGTTTATTTAATGCTTCTTCATGGCTCCTTATTTCATTCAATCGCTGGTCGTAAACGTTAATTTTTATTCTCTCGTATCTAGACTCATGGAAGCACAATTGCACCTCTAGACGTTCAGCCAATTTTTTTGTTTCTTGTTCGATCCAATCGCTTGTTTGATTGGACAATTCCTCTTTGCAATTGGATGAATATGTTTCTATGGTTTCCCTTAAACTGTAAGGGTACTTTTTTTTCATTTACGTACGATATAAACTGGTACAGTATAAAGACATTTTACACAGTAGAGTCACTTTTTCAACGTGATCTAAAATGCCGGCGTTTTTGCAGGCGGTCATAAATCAATAATAATTTTTGCTCTGTTGGTCAACAATTCCGATTTTCGACTGAATTGTCATCACAATTAAATAAATTGAATCTAATATACGAGGGTGGATTGATAAGTTTCCGGCCTGACCAAGAAAAACAAGGTTTTTAAAAATTTTTTTTTTTTATTTCTCAACATAATCTCCTCCAAGGCTGATACATTTCTCATAGCGGTGTTCCAGTCTATTAATGCCATCTCTATAGACTGATTCGTCAAGCTCCTCAAAATAACCATTTACAGCTTCGATTACTTCTTCATTGTCCGCAAATCTCTTACCGCCAAGCCATTTTTTGAGATTAGGGAACAGAAAATAGTCACTCGGGGCTAGGTCTGGAGAGTAAGGAGGGTGCGGCATCAATTCAAACTTTAGATCGTTGATTTTAGCCGTCGCAACGATTGACGTGTGCGCTGGTGCGTTATCGTGATGAAACAAGATTTTTTTCTTCGCCAGATGAGGTCGTTTAATTTTCACCTCGTGGCTCAAACGTTGCAATAAGTCTGCGTAGTATTGACCAGTGATAGTATTACCCTTTGCAAGGTAATCAATGTATATAATACCTCTTGCATCCCAAAAAACAGTAGCCATAACCTTGTTCGCCGAAAAAATTGTTTTTGCCTTCTTTGGAGTTGGTTCCCCTGGTCCAATCCACTGTTTAGACTGTTCTTTGGTTTCAGGAGTGTAGTGGTGGACCCACGTTTCGTCAACGGTTACGAATCGACGCAAAAATTCGCTTGGATTACGCTTATACAATGACAAATTTGCGGTAGAAATGTTTTTTCGAATCAATTTTTGGTCGACTGTTAGCAAACGCGGCACCCATCTTGCACAGAGCTTTTCCATATGCAAATGTTGGTGCAAAATATGTTGCACACGTTCATATGACATCTTACAGGTCTCAGCTATCTCACGCACTTTCAATCTGCGGTCTCCCAGCACTATTTGATGAATTTTTTCGATCATATCTGGAGTTGTGACCTCAACGGGGCGTCCTGAGCGAGGCCCATCAGAGGTGCTCACACGACCCTTTTTAAACTCGGAAACCCACTGCTTAACGGTTGAATATGACGGGGAGGATGTCCCCAGTGTTGAGTCCATCTCTTTTTTAATTTCCTTCGGCGTTAACCCCTTCAAATAAAAGTATTTGATGACAGCACGATTTTCCTGCTTTTCCATTTTTACGAAAACCACAGAGGCGTCTTGTTCAGCGTGCTGTCAAACCTACACTAGCAAGGAGATCGGGCTGAAACTATAGCTACAAGCTATCCAAGGATGGTACTATAGAATGTCACCTCAAGGTAGGCCTAGTGGCGTCATCTCTTGGTTAGGCCGGAAACTTATCAATCCACCCTCGTATTTGTAACAACCATATGTAAAAAAAATGATGTAACTTGTGATAATGATGGCTTTATGAAAAAACGACATTTATTTCCATAACTCACCCTGTCATCCAGTTTTCGACTGCGTTAACTTTATGTACTATTACATTGATATTTTGAAAAATGCCCTCGTTACTTGGGAAATATTCTACGGAGTTACTTTTGTGGATATAGATGTTTTCTTTGGGAAACGTTTTAAGAAACAATTGTAGTTCCGCTGTGAGGATGCCAGTGGCAGTTTCCGATAGCTTGGTAAACTTGTTCAAGACTTTGACTTCGGCTTCGTGATTTGTTAAGTACCTGTATATTATAATTTAATGAATAATGATAGTGGAACAATACATAGAACAATATGTTGTTGGTTAACATACTGTCTAAATCGGCAAAATGAAAGCTGAAGAATACTTTCGTGCTTTAGTGAATTAATTTTTTGAATTAACTTTACCCACTACAGATAACTTCAAATTAATGAGGAGCGGTAGTGGTAGAGTAAGTACTACTACGTACAGTCTATTTCAATTTGTTAGAATTGTGACCTTGAAGAAATCTGCGCGAAGAAAGAAAGAATACACACTAGGCGTGAGTAAGACAGAAATAGTTGGAACAAGCTTGTACGAGCAGAGCTCTCGATGGGCGGTCTTAGGAGATCGGCTAGAACTGTACAGTACTAGACGAAAATGTTTAGCAATTTCTTAAAACAAAAATGTATATAAATTAACAATAGAAAACAAAGCAAAAGTTTTATAGGTGTGTAGAACGTTAAGTTAATTCACTTGTTATTATTTTTGACTAAATATGCTTTTAAATAAGGCATATTCTTAAATTTAATGAGACAGTTAAAATAATTTTGCAAATGGTACTGTACACATTTGTCTAGTTCTCGCTCGATGATTGGTGGAGAAATGAGCTCCGCAGACAAATATGATTCAATTTGGAATTATTCTACGGCGCCTCCTAATAAAGGGAAGGGGCATATCTCTAATTTCTTGAAACGAGCAGTAAAAACAAGTGCCCGGGTTCGATGGAGTAACCGCAGCAAAATTTTTTTCTCATTAATTTGAGCTTATTTGTAGAGAGTAAAGTTAATTCAAAAAATTAATTAACTAATGCATTGAATTTAACCCTATAAAAATTCAAAGTGTCTCAATACTTTCGCGCTTCTTGATCCAAATAGCAGGAAGTTCAAGAGTTTAATCTACAAAGATAAAAACAGCTTTTCTTGGATTAGGGAAAGTATATGATAACAATTAGGTGTGATATGAGAAAAAGTATGCTGTAATTCACTAATTGACGCCGTTTGTAGTTTCGTAATAAAGTATGTTATTACTTTTTTTTTATTTTATCCAGTACTATAAATACTTCTCCAAGGGCCGCTTTCAAGTCGTTTTCGGTATGTTGCTGTCGCAGGGCGTCCAGTGCGGTGTTAACGCCGGTTTCAAACAACTAAAAAGAAAAATACATTTCTGCAGATGCTCGATATTGTTGAATGCCCAATTTGTCTTTGACTGATAAAGTCTTATGAAGACGACTGTCTACTAAATTCGAAATGTGTTACCATGATTGTTTCATCGTTCTTATCAATGATATTTTGTAACTCCTTGTGGATTAAGACTTTTGCTTCTTCGATTCTCGAAAGATGCAAGTCCCAAAGGGAAGCAGATTTTCTCAAGAACTGGTAGGGTTTTTCGAGTTTTTTCTTAAGCAAGTCAGAGAAGACGTGCCAATTTTTCTAAAATTTTGATATATAAAGAACGAGAAAGATCTGCATGAAATTGGAGATTATCAATTATTATAGAAAATGGGAACCGCTTTGCTGCAGGTTTGTAATAAAAATTAGTTTTATTGACTGTATCACGACTCATTAACCCTAATCCTTTAGTTAATTATTATTTCTTACCTCAAAAATTGCCGCATCACGTATTTGATCTGATGTTCCTATTTCGTCCGACATCTTAATGATTTCAGCGTCGATGGTGTGTAAATCTGTTATGTCAATTACTCCTTCGGACATCATGGCATGTTTTATTTCACCAAGTCTATCGATGTAACCGTGGAACACCTTACTAATGGCATTTTTGTAAAGACCGATCAATGTCATACTGTAACCATCTAAAGAATTTTCGTAAATATTACTTAACAAGGATGCACAACACATTATCATCATCATCATCATCATCATAATCATAATCATCATCATAAGATCGTCAGTCCTCTCTTTCCTATCCTGAGCTAATCCTCGCATTTCCTTAAAACTAGAACAACCCACATTCTTAACTATTTGCGAACAGTAATCTAACCTAGGTCTATCTCTACCCCTCCTAACTCCTGTTTCTGCCTCTAATATATCTCTGACTAGACCTTTATGTCTAAGAAGGTGTCCTATACTTCATTTACTTTCTCTAGCGTTGTGCCCCTTCCAATGTCTTGGATGCGCGCTGGCAAAATCGTAGGTAGGGAGAAAAAAGCTCATTATACTCTCGACTCTTGTTCATTAAACATACTTTTTCATACAGTACCTGCCAAAACTTTTGTTCAATCATGAATAGTAGTGCGAGTCGAAAACAAGCGTTTTAGCCTTTAATATGCCTTCAAATATAAATAAACATCTCGTTGATATTTTCAGTAGTAAATGGTACCAATAACAGCACATTTAAGCAATGCAATTGTAGTGGATAAAATGGTCAATTTTTCCGTGTAGTACTGTACGGATTATACGCTCCTCACCGTTTAAGAGTTTGGCCGAGAGTTGTCTCCTTCCTTTTCTGGTCTAGTGCTGTTTTTTTCTACTTTGCGCCGGTCAAACTGAAGGTCACATCGCTACAGAAACTAAACGAAGTATGCCAACCTATCTCGCCTATTTTTTATTGACTTTCATAGAGTCCTGCGTTCTCCTATTCTTTCTAATACCTCTTCATTTCTAACCTTTTCTACTCACGATATCCTCATCATTCGCCTATAACATCACATTTCGAAAGCTTCTGACTTGTTCTTTTCCGCCGCGACCACTGTCCATGTTTCGCACCCGTACAGCGTCGTGCTCCAAACGTACACCTTTAACAACCTTTTTCGAATTTCTAAATTAACCGTTCGCGAGCATAGAAGTGACTTCTTTTTATTAACTACTCCTTCTGTCCTGACTTATCTAACTTCCTAGATATTTAAAATCAGCCACTTCTTCTAATTTTTTGTCTCCTATCTCTATATTCGCTCTTTCCCTACAACACACCATTTTAATTTGTATCTCGAATATGCGATTAATATTATAAAAGGTAAGATAGGTTTAAGGACAAAGGACTAGTATGCTTAGATTTGCGGATAATATAGCAGTATTATCATGTAACAATAAGGAGTCAGAGATAGCATTAAATAAAATGGAAGCAACATTACCAGATCAGTATGGTATGAATATTAATAAAAGTAAAACAAAAATATTGGTATCTAAGGGATATCAAAGTAGAGTTGGGGATGATCTTATGTCAGACACATAACTCAAGATGAAAACAACTGGAAGATATATCACGGTTCTGTATGGCATGAAACGTGGATGGTGGGTATTGCTGAAAATAAATATTGAAAACATTGAAGATGCGATGATGGACGATATTGGAAATATCTTCCTTAGAAAAAACTTAGAGAAAAGTGGGGGATATAGAAGTCACTAAGGAATGGGCAAAATAGGATCGTGTAGGACATCATTTGAGACATGAAGAGCCAGTTAAGGACATATTAGAAGCTGAAGCAAGTGTTAAGAAAAGCATAGGTAGATCTAGATTAGATTGTGGGAACACTCGGTATAGCAAGAAAACATTTATTGTTGTGCATCAATTAGGACTCTACATTTGTGCTGACTTAGTTAGGTCGCGACACACTGCGACTAACTAGGTCAACGGCAAATACATACACAAATGTAATGTGCTGAAATGTTCTTTGCCATTTAATCCATGTAAATAAATTTTGTATAAATACTCTGTAAATATTCGAATAAAATTAGTCTAACACCAGGCTCGCTATTATTGTATACTGCAACAGTATCAACTCCAGACTATCGACCATCGGATGCTGTACCAGTGCTACGTCTCATTATAGGCAACAGCAATGTGTCCAACGCTTTGGTAAATCGGTTCTTCTCAGAACCACAACTTGCTAGTCACATCTCTCATCACATACGACTACAGAGAGTTGCTACGAGATTACTGTTCAAGAAGATTGGCACAGGATAGGTAGAAGTGGAGGCCTTCGGGCTGAAGACCTTATGATGATCAGAGGTGGGTAAAGTCTCACCAAAAGAACTACCTACAGGATTCAAGATTAAAGCCCTTGCCTAAATTGCTTTAACTCTTGAAGTACGTATTATGCTTTATATTTCAAGGACTGCCAGTTACTTCGAATGGAATTAGGTTCAACTCCCTAAGCATTTTGAAGGTGCTTCATGCACTTTGAAAGAGTTTGAAGCTCTTTGAACGATAAATTACAAATTAATTTCATAAATTGGTTTACCAAGCCCAAACTACTTATTCATGGGCTTGCAGTACTTCTAAGCAGCAAAGATGCACTCAATTCTTCAAAAGTTTTAAATTATTAGGAAAGTTGTAGTTACTAATCAGTAAAATGCGAATCGGATGAAATATGTTACTTAGTGGACTGTTTGAGCAACATCAGCTGCTAATTACTTGGAATTATTAAGGATAAATTGTAATATTATGATTTGAAATTTTCTTTCAATTTTAATTTCCTATCCAAAACGTATGCTGATGAAACTTATTTGTAGTATTAAAACCTTTATTAAAAGTATAGGTACCCATATAATCCATGGCACTTTGCATATCATTTAACCACTTATTTAAATCTAACGACTTTGTCGGCAAGGTAATCTTTTGATCAAGCAAATTTGTCAAGCTCTTTCCTGTATCTTCCAGGGCTACGCTTACATTTTTGGCCTTTGCGTCTTTTTGGAATTCTTCATCCCAAACTTTACTGAGTGAACTGAAAATTATTTATCACATTAATGAATTTTAGAAAGTTTGTAGGTACTTATAAAAATAACAATTATTATTTAATATTTAATAAGTAGACGATTATAAACGGTACGTAGTAGTAACTATACCTAAAAAGAGTGGCGCGGATAGGTGCGAGACATTAATAACAATTAGATTAACTTCCCATGCGTCAAAAATCTTAACTAGAGGAGGATAGAAAAAATGGCGGAAGAACTATTAGGGGAAGATCAATTTGGGTTTAGAACAAATAGAGGAACGCAGGAGGCAATTCTAGCTTTACGGGTAACAATAGAGAAAACATTAGAAAAGGGAAAGAGTGCATAACTTTTGACAATGTTAAATGGGACAAGATGTTAAATATACTTAAAAATGTAGGGATGAGTTACAGAGTTGTAGAAGAGTGATACTTAGTTTGTACAAAGAGCAACAGGCAGTTATAAAGCTGGAGCTACAATATAGAGAAGTAAATATTAGGAAGGGGGTCAGACAGGGATGCACACCGTCACCGCTACTTAATCTATACATCGAAGATGCGATCAATATCATTAAAGACAGTACAACTGTAGAGATATATAAACAGTGGCAAAATATTAGTATGCTACCGAGCGGCATGGCCTAAAGGTCTAGACCATTGCTTAGTATTCAGGAGGACGCCGGTTCGATTCCGGGTCCGTCTGCCTTGGTCCAAGCTTTTCTGTGGTTTCCTTGGATCACTTAGGCAAATGCTGAGGCAGTAATATTCCACAGATAATCTTTCATTCTCTTCTGTCTTCATTTCGTCCGTCTCATCTTTCTCACCCGAACCACCACCCACCCATTCCCACGATTCCTGAAAGCAGGCCGAAGAGGGCCTTCCGCCCTACCTTCCGGCGTAGTCCGGAGGGACTGGCCGCCCACCAGCACTAGTGGCTGGTGGGAATGAAACACCCAAAAGTTTTTTTTTTTATTAGTATGCTTAGATTTGCAAATGATATAGCAGTATTACCATCTAGCAAGGAGGAGTTAGAGATGGAGATAGCTTTAAATAAAATGAAAGCGGTACTGACAAAACAGTACTGTATGAAATAAATAAAAATAAAACAAAACTACTGGTATGTAAGGAATGAAAAAGTAGGAAAAGATAGGAGACGAAAAATTAGAAGGTCGCTGAGTTTAGGTATGTAGGAAGTCGGATAAGTCAGGACGGAAGGAGTATGGGGGATATAAAGCGGAGCATAGTGCAGGGTCGAGTTGCCTTCAATAAAAATAAGTCACTTCTATGCTGTTACGTCGATATATTTGGACCTCTTCAGCAACTCATCCAGTGTCTTTGTCCTAATTTTTGAATTGTCTTCATTAAAACATAAAACAAATGGACTTTATACACCTTTTCCACATTTAAATAATAGGATATTTACCAAAATTTAATATTAATATTTGGTCTTCATTTCCGTGAACCAAATAAACTAAATCTATTTATAACGAACCACCTCATGAGTAATTGGTGCTGAAGAGGACCTGAATCGACAAGTCCCATAACGGCCTAAGGTAGAAGAGTTTTATTTGGTAGGCGCTCCTGGGAGTGTATCCAACACTACCCAGTCGTACGGGCGGCTGGATGAGCCTTGAAGATTTCCCCTCTTCCACGAAAACAATAGAATAAATGAGTAATTGGTAAAGACTTTCGCATTCAAGTGGTGAACTAATGCTGCCCTGATTAGCGTCTAAAGGTCATCGTCGGTTGTAGCAGCTTCCTTCTAGTACGAACGGAGAGTCTCTTTAGAAGCCCTTCCTTCTCTGATGCTGGACCTACCGACGACAGCTATTAGACCTGAATCAGGAATGCATCAGTTCAGTCTTATGAGTATTTTTCTTTCTTATCAGTTATTCAAGCACTGTAAAGAATTTGATTCTTACCATAGTGAAGTTGTTATGTGATTCATAAATACTTTTTTCCTTGCGTTTCTCCAAATTTCTTTGAAAGCGTTCATACGCCGGCTGCATATCAGAAAAGCGTGCTCGTTTTGCAGACGAAGTTTAGAGTGCAGTTCGGAGTACAATCTGAAGTTGTTCATAATAAGCTCATTCATATTCTAGAAATTTTAGAATGTGCTGTTATAAGTACATTATCCTAGATAGTACCTAGAGGTTACCGATGCCTCAAAGTATTCTTGTACTTTTGGTTATGTGAACAGTACCACTATGAACTCCTAAGATGTTTTAACAATTTCAAAAAGTTTCTTTAATGGGATTTCTTGGAAGATATCACCGAAAATCTACACTAAAACTGTCTTCCCTATTTGTGAAAATATAGAAATTTTAGAAAATTCTACAAATGGCGCACTAAACGCCATCATGCTACATTTTAGGATTACGTATTCGAATTATAATATAGAAATTGTTTAAATAAACGGAACGACGTCTCTAGAAGTTCATTATTAGGAACGAATGCCGCAGGAAATCTATACCTACAGTATCTTGATCTACTCGATAGCCGGTAGCCACGATTCATAGCTCATGCACCGGTAAGACAAAATCAAAGAGATGTTAATTTTTATGTTGGTTTTTTTTAGGGAAATTACCGGAAATTTACGCTGAAACTGTTGTAGCGAAGATTGTAGGATTTACAATTGACCGGTTTTTAAAATAACTGAAGAAGTAAAATGTGAAGTCTAAAATAACGATTATAAATCCATATAAATTGAAGTAAATCCTAATTTTCTTTATCAAAATCAACGCCTAATAACATAAGAGTAACTTTTTCCTGCACAGTTATATCTATAAGCTGTTAATCGTATGAAGAATATCGAATGCTTTGTTATTTAATTAGAAACGTTTGATACAATATTGTGGTCTTACAATTATCTCCTTTTCAAAGTATCCTTCTATATCCATAGGCGACAAGTGTTGAATTATGTGCAGATTGAGGTAGGCTTCTTGAAATATCACTTTGTATCGTTCAGATCGCAAATTTTCTAAACATTTTAAGTAACTGTGGAAGTTTTCTATACTTTCGTTACTGTATATTTCAAGTTTCATCAAATCGTCGGCAGCTTCGGCAAGTTCATCATGACTGATCTTTCCTATTTCCGACTAAAACAAAATATCAAATAAAACACTAAAATTTTTGAAATATCCTATTTTTTACAGTGGCACTAAATCTATTTTGTGTACAGAGCATAGAAAATAGCACATAGGAGTTCTTAATATTTTTCAGCTCACTACTTTCTTCCACAATAATTACTAATAGCCCTAACAATCGAAACTCTTGTACAAACTAGAGTGGGTGGATCGGCTTGCGAGTTTCGATGATTTAGGGAGTCGGACCATAGGTTCAACCATAATGGGGGGGTTCTTAAAGAGAAACCAGACTAAGACAAGTCCCTGAAAGAGGGCAGCAGCTCTTTCAGTACTCACGGTGGCAGACGTCGCGAGGATCGGTATGGCACTCTGATGCAAAATACTGCGATGTGGAAGGCAACGGGAAACCACCACATTATGATATCCCAAGTAAAATGTGTCACACATATTAAATGATGGCGTCCTCAGGGGTAAAGCACTCTGGACGTAAACTAGTCGGAGGACTACCTCGGGGGATGTCATCAATAATATAAAATTTAGAAATGAAGTGGTATTAGAAAGAGTAGGAGAACAGAGGGTTCTATGGAAGTCAGTAAGGCGAGATAGGTTAGTAGGACACCTTCTCAGGCATGAAGGTCTAGTCAGAGACATATTAGAGGCAGAAACAGGAGTTAGGAGGGGTAGAGGTAGACCTAGATTAGATTACTGTTCGCAAATAGTTAAGGATACGGGTCGTTATAGTTTTAGGGAAATGTGAAGATTAGCTCAGGAAAGGAAAGAGTGGAGGTACGTGTCCAACCAGTCTTAGGACTGACGACCTTATGATGATGATGATGAGCAGGAAATCTGAATAAGTACAGACAGCATAGTCAATACCATCTGTCCTCTTCTAATAAGGATATCTACATGACCAACTTTAGCAGTCTACGTGATAACCAATCAGAACAAAAAGTTGATATACTTTGGCTAGTCGATAGTCATATTAGAGGAGGAATTAGTGGAATATTACTGAAACCTGTTATAGTAAGTAGCAATGGAGAATATCAAAACTTTTTTTTACACCCGGTTCTCGCAAAATGAAACTTATCCTGATACTAACCAATATATGCCAAAAGTCATTGAGACCATGGAAATGACGACTCGCTGATCTTTGATTTCGTAGACAGTTTTTACCGTCTTGATATGTTTAATCTATTGGCTTAGATTTTATTTTGCGAGGTCTGGGGCCATTTTGGACATTCTTTTCTATAGATAGCATTCACTATGCTGTCTGCAGCAACTTATATGGTCATTCTACGTTTTTTAGTGGTCTAATTTTAAGTTCTGCCGGAAACGTTTACGTCGTGCTGCTGAGTTTGAAATCGCCTGACACTTTCGACAAAACACCGACTACATACTAAGAACATTTCGTCTAGTAGCGAATTTATAAAAAAAAAAGATTAGTAGGTTGCTATCTGGCAAAGTCTTTTGTGAACCACCGAGGGTTCATGACTTTCATTTTTATAATACAATTTCCTTTACTTTACTTGTTCCAAATTTTTTTCAAAATTCTCACAAATGTCGGAGGCCTTAGACTTTGCCATCGATACCGTTTCCTTTAAATCTTCACCAATTCTTCGAATATGGTTATCTATGAAGCAATTAACTTCAATTAATTTTGCTTTCATTATTTCTATTGCAGACATGTGATTCTTTTCTCGCCTTTGTAACATTCTTTTTAAAACTTTTGATTTCGTACAGACACAATCTGTAAAACGAATAATAATAAATATAAAATTGATTAGTTGCTTTCCTTGAATGAGTCCATGTGGATTGTAATGCATCAATTTTTTGAAGGAGCCATTCAAATAACAAAAAATTGTACTTACAATAATACAAGAAAGAAGATAATAAATATCGATTGTTTCTTGATCAGTTAAAATTTAACGTAAGAAGAATAATTATAGAAATTCTGAACTTTGTCATTAATGTTGATTATCTCATTATAACTCCTAAGGATTGTAGATAGATTTATTGACGAAGAAGTCCAAAAACTCCGTTCAGAACATTGGACTTGTGCAATAAAAAAGATTATTCAACTGATTAGATCAGAATTTCCTCAGAAAAGTATAATTTCTTTGACATAGTATGTTCTCAATTATTCAATAGCTATTAAAAAGTGTTTTTTAAAATTGAGTTTACCCCATTCGAATGGTAAGTTCTTAATAATCCATTTTTCTTCATCTGTACAATCTCCTGGTTTTTGCGTTGACATGGTTGGCTTTATTTACACTTTTTGAAAGTGAAATTTGAAAACTGCTAGAGTGACAAGAGTCATTTATGACAAACATTGACATGTTCTAATTCCGTTGCCCAAATATTTTTACATGTCGTTCCCAAAGAAGGTACAAATGTGTCAATTAAGCATTATACAGACAATTGAGTAAAGAATTATTTAATTAAATATTAAATACATAACAAACACTTACATTAAATATAATAAATAATGTATTTTACAAGAAATAATAAATAGACGCACCCTAGATATGGGAAGACAGGTACCCGAAGTTGAAGTTTTGAAGAAGATGTCGAATGTTTAATTTCAGTTTCGTTTTTTCTTTGGCTTGATTTTGTTTCCGAAATTTTTGTTGTCTTCCGCTACTTCGTCATTTTCCTCACTTATGTCTTCATCATTTTTGCCTTCCAAATGGTTTCCATCGTCTGACGACCTCTGGAATGTTTCTTCTTCATTCATTTCAGACGAGTCCTCATCCGATACATATATGGTTAGTGGATTTTTGGGTCTTAACTGAAGGCTTTGAATATCTTGCGACTTCAAGTGCATCAAATTGCTGTTTATCTTTCCAGCCTCTTGCAGAGATGCCAATGCTTCGGCAGCTTCTTTGTTGGGCAACGTCATGTAGAAGTTCGATATTTGTTCCTTATCGTTATCGTTACGATCCGAAGCGACCGAAGATGAAGTATCACTTCGTTTCTTCTGATTGCCGCCATTAGTATTTTCGTTATTAGTGTTAGGGGAATCTAATAAATGCTGTAGATAAGCGTTTTGCTGATTGACATTCAAATTGTTTCGAAAAGAGTGAGCGTTTGTCGGGGTGTTAGTGTCTGTTTCGAAATCAGGAAATTTCACCGACGATCCTTCATACTGGTTTGGGTTTTTGGAAAATTGTTCTTCGTAATTAAACGTGTGAAGTTGAGGTTTTGACTGTTCGTTGGCATTTTGACCGATGGCTTGCTGAACTTGAGAAAGATACGCTGGTTCACTCTGGAATAACTGAGCTTGCTTCAACATGGTTTCGTAATCTGGAATGTTCAGTTGGAGATGTGGCTGGGGTTGTTGTGGATTTTTAGGTGGCTGCGCTCGGTACTCATGCTTGTATTCTTCGGAAGGTTGATTGTGAACTTGGGAATGGTCATGGGTTTGATACGAAGCCACTAGCTGTTGCAAATCTTTCGTGTTTTGTATTGGAGTCTTTACAAACTGTTCCTGTTGGTTATTAAATTCGTTGAGATATTGTTGAATCTCCTTGTTGTTGGGCAAGTTGTTGGAAGGTAATGCTAAAGTGTGCTCAACTGGTATATTATCGTAGGTATTGGTGGCAACGTATTGGGGTGGCGGTTGGACATACTGGGGTTGTTGGTACTGGTTTCTGAAACTAAAAGTTACGAATTAAATGCCGATATAGGCTACGAACTATTTTCTAGAGAATTCCGTCGTGGTCCTTAGAAATATTTTTAGTTAAACGTTTCACCGATCTTCTCGTAGGTGGTCAGTCGACCCCGCGAAGTCACTACTGAAGGTAATCGGTGAAATGATTGGAAAAACAGGTTTCTAAGGATCACTATGGGGTAGCCCATGAAGAATTTAGTAACTGATCCAAAAAATACCACCAATGGCGCAGTAAACGCCATCTGTAGTACGATGCTACATTTTAGGATTACGTATGGTCCAACAAGGTCCACTTGTGTGGATATCTATTTGCTGAAACGAATCCCGGCGTAGCTAACCTCAACGTGATAGGCACGTTACGATAATCGAATAAAATAACTCGAAGTGGTCTGTATTGCGACGCGCTGATGAGATCCAAAAAGATCGAAATCGCGATTCGCGTCTGGTAGTTTCGACAGAATACAGACCACTTCGAGTTATTTTATTCGATTATGGTAACGTGCCTATCACGTTGAGGTTAGCTACGCCGGGATTCGTTTCAGCAAGTAGATATAAATACATTTAAATGGACCTTGTTGGGGCATACGTAATCCTAAAATGTAGCATCGTACTACAGATGGCTTTTACCGTGCCATTTGTAGTATTTTCTAAAACGCGCTGTTAAGGCAGCAGGTAAAAGTTGGTCTGTGTTCTGTCGGAGCTGCCTGCGACGCGTTGATGAGATCCAAAAAGATCGAAATCGCGATCCGCGTCTGGCAGTTTCGACAGAATACAGACCACTTCGAGTTATTTTATTTTATTTAACTGATCTATGCTCTCTATTAAGACATAAAAGCTGTTTTTGTGTAACAATTGTCTTACTTATTTATTGTTTGGAATGATTCTGTATAGGTCTTTTGTGGAATATTGTACTTCGATAGCTGTTCACTGCTCTCGGTTACTTGATATTGATGGAATTTTTGTTGTTGTTGTTGCTGTTGTTGTTGGATGACATCGGGTCGGTGATGTTCTTGGTAATGTCGACGTTCTTTAAATGTATCATCTGAATGGTACGACGGTTTGTCTCGACTTAAATTAGGTGCCGGGATGGTATGGATAGGACCCTTCTCATCCAGTTGTTTTATTGGTATTTGATTGGCGATGTCAGCAACTTTATTTTGGATAGGAATGGCGTTCGGTATATTATTGGTTTGGATGTGATAATCAAGTTCTGGTTGGAAGTTCAGAGGTCTGAAAAAATATAATCGATTAAAATTGGCATATGAAAATCGAAATTTTTTGTCATTTAACCTTGAGGATTGAAATGGTTTCACTGTAGGTTTCCTTGGCAGACTTTTTAAAGGTTTTTGATGAATCCTGTTAAGAGCCTGATAGTTTGTTTTAACTGGTCCTATGGGAAGGGGAACTTTTCCGTAATTTTGTGGTTGATTATGGACCGGAATGGGTCTAGGAGGTCTAGATACTCCTCGGTGGGGTCTTGCTAATTGCCATTTCTTTAAATAAGCTGGTGGACCTGGAGCCGGAGGAGGTCTTTGAGGAGGGGCTGGACCTCGGCGCTTGAAGCGATATTCCGCTGACGCTATAGCCTCGGTTAGGGTCCAAATAACAATAATGGTAGTTATAACCTAAAAAAACAGTTAAATGTTTAAAATGAACTAAAAATGATGAGTTATACATGTGAAATAATTTAATTCTGCTGTTTCACCTTTAATGTCCCAGGCTAGCTCAGATTAGTTTGTTAGTTGACTATTGCTTGTGTGGAGAAGGTTTCGGATGAGGAATTCGTACATACGTTTAGTAAAAGGTGAAACATAGGCACTTGTTGTGATAGTAAATTGCTTGCCTTTTAACTTTGATTATTAAGTACATCAGTAGGCAGTATCATAAGAAACAGGAAGAGTTATATTTGTAATTAATTTTTTTTGTAGGTTAAGTTTCACGGTGGAAAAATGCTAATCTGGATATTTGCAAAAAAATGAGATGATCCAGAGTTAGGCTGCTGGTGATAACAATTGTATTTATTATAAATAGTTAGGATTAACATTGCCGGAAACAAGGCAAACCCTGGACAAAAATTTTCAGTCTCTCTCCAGTCTCTCAGAGTCTTTCGGAATCTTTCAGCGTCTCTCACAGTCTTTCACAGTCTCTCAGTTATGCCTAGGTGTTTTTATGGATCTCTCACAGTCTCTGTATGAGAGACTCGAACGATAAACTTGTTAATTCAGAGAGTCGAGTCTTTCACAGACAGACTGAATGAATAAAACTGAAAAATTGAGAGACTCGAGTTTCTCGCAGAAAGACTGGGATCTCTGACATATGTTAAACTTAAAAAAATTTAACCATATCTATCGAAACACCACTTATTGAGAGATTCGAGTACCTCGTTCAGAGACGCTAAACAGTTTTCTTGACAGTCTCTCTCAGCGACACCTAAGAGACTCGATGAGAGACGGAGACTCGAATCTTGCGCTTTAAGAGACTCTGAGAGACTGAACATTTTTATCTCGGGTAATGAGGACGATGTCTCGGATAAAAGCTAGTAAGCAAATGCATATAAATCTTTGTGGCTTTCTACCGAAGAAATGCGGATTTTGCATATCCATTTATCACTTCCTGCTGAACACGTTAGAAAATTGGTTAAATATATAAAAAATGGTACATTTATAGTTCAAGTGTTAATAACAATGATAAAACCTAGTAGACATGTGTACAGGTACATATTTGTTTGTATGTGAATAGTTGAAAACTGGTTGCCCCAGTAACGGCTTGTTAAAACATAAAACGAAGTGCTGACCTAGTGACGATACAGATGATGAAGTCCCCTTTCGTTCCCCGAACCCCCTCCCCAAGCCCGCGGTTCCCCATCGCACGAGCTTGCTGAAAGTAAACACGAACACAGGTGATTGCTCTTCGTTTGACCCACATAACAACGCTAACTAGATCGCTGCGATTGAGATGAAATTTTATGCTGATAATGACCTTGCAAGGTAAACTTGATATGTATGTATAAGTAAGCAAATTAGCGAATTATGTTTATGGCATGGAAAATTTTTGCATCTGAAATGAAGTTCAATTAGGTGTAAAATCTCATTTCTCTCACTTTTTCTTGTCGATAAAAAATGCATGAAGTATTTAGGTAGTATACAAGTAAAAATTCTTTACAAACGCTACGAAAGGTCGCCAAAGGTCCCGGGTTCGATTCCCGGCGAGGGTGTAATAGCAACAAAAATTTTTACTCATTAAATTGAGGTAACTTATAATGGATAAAAATTAATACATATTTAAAAGATGAAAGATTTTAATTTACATATTTATTACAGTTTTAAATGTAATTAAAGCGTCAATCATTGTTTTAGTTCAGTTAATAAATTACATTTAAATGAAATATCATCATTTCTAGAGGTAGAATGAACTAATAATAGAATGAAATCATTTTTTGCGATATATCTATACATTATAAGTACGTATGTACTAAGAATTTACGAGATACGTTTAGATATTACTGTATTCAGTTCTAGATTATATTGTATTAAAAAACAATTGTAGTTTCCTTCAAATTCGAATGAATAACTACCCAAAAAAGTCTTAATTACACGTAAGATAAAGGATTTTAACCAAGCATAATTTTAATTTAAAAAAAGTTAAGGAAAAATACATTTCTGTTAATACAAGAAAATCAAATAAACAACTGTGGAACTGAACCATATAAAAAGCCTTGGATGTTTAACGGCTGTTTAGGTTGCTAAACTGGATTAGGGTTAGTTTAATGCTTCTATCTTGTTGGATAGACTGTATCGCAATTTGATGGAAAAATTTTCCCTCTGAGGGCAGAAACAAAAGGAGTAATCCCAGTTTTCAACTTTTTAGTTTAAGTTACTACAATTTATATACACTGGTGGCGACTTTATAACCCAACTATTACATGAAATCATCAATGAACGATATCATATTTTGAAAAATACGACGTGGTGTAGGAAAATTCGTGTAAATATCTCGTCATCTTTTTATATAATTGATAATGGAATGTGAGTCCAATAAACGTTTTGTTCAAAATATTTTGAGAGTTTCGAGTAGCTTGGACAGTTTTTAGAGAAGAAGTTTTAGAAATTCTTGGTTATGGGGGAGGAGCCGGAATTATAAAATTTTAAATAAAAATTGATAATTGATAATTATACGAAGAAAACAAAAAAAAAAAGAAAAAATGTACCATCAACGCGAATTTTAAAAAATTATACTGTATTCGATAGGAAATTTGTTAATTTAAAAGAAAAAGATTGGCTTGCCATTTTTTTTTAATCGAAAGGGCGTGGCATATCCACTTAAAGGGTATAAAAGAGGGTAAAATTTCACCATTAATGCTTATACTTTTTTTTAATTTTACGTGTTTAATGTGATTAACAAAAATATCTTGGTATGCACGTCTAAAAACTTCCGGAAGTATCTGGCATACCAATTTTATTTCATTGGCTTCCTTTACATCAACTATACAATAATTTTATTTTAAAGCAGCATGAGGATAAATATGATACAAGAAATCAAGTAAAATAATTCTTTTAGTTTTTTTTAAAAATAAGTAATATTTTAAACAATTGTATACCTACTAGTAATTTCGTAAAAGTATTCCAAAAGGAAGCCATTAAAATAGAATTGGTATGCCAGATACTTCCGGTAGTTTACGTAAAATTAAAAAAATAAGTGCCTACGCGATAATGGTGAAATTTTACCCTTTATCACATCCTTTAAGTAAGTATGCCACGCCCTTTCCGGTGAAAAGATCGGCAAGCTAATTATTTTCTTTTAAATTAAGAAATTTTGCTATCGAAATTTTTTAAAATTCGCGATAATGGTAAAACGTTTTTCCTTTTTTTTATTATAAATAAATTTCTTTAATACACATTCGGCTAAGTAAATTAACGCGTACTAAGGCCATTTTGTTCGTATAATTGTCAAATATCAATTTTTTTAAAAATTTTACAAGTCGGCGATGATGGTACTTTCACCGGATTCTCGACTATTATGAAAAAATGCCGACAAAGAAACCGTCAAAGTTTTCAAGTCATTTTTTATATGTTTGTAAGTATGTTAAAATTATTAAATTATTATTTTAGACCGTTGACAAAAAACTATCGCTATCAGAGAAATAATATTATTATTCAAATGTCTTCTGTTAGCAAAATAATAAAAAATTCGAACTAAAAGAATTATTTACCTTCATTTTCAAGAGGAATGCCTCTTAGTAATCGTCGAGTTTCTCGCTACCATTAACTCGTAAAGATTAACTGACCAACATTCACGTATAACACTTTACGTTCACTGTGCTTTCTATGTACTAAACAAATAGGTCATGATGTTGCTTTTTATATCCAAGATGGCAATTGGAAACCCAAAAGAAATCGCATCGTGCACCGCCCAGATTTTTTTCTTTTTTGAAAACTTGGCTTATTCTCTCAGATTCCTTCGAAGTCGTAGTACGTACTCGTAGTAAAAAAGTAATAAACTTTAAAAACATTCTTAACTGTACTTCTGCATCGTTTATCAAGTTTAACAACAAATCATTCTACCTGGTGCCATGTCTCTGAGTACCGAAAAAACACCGTTGGGCTTTTTACTGTAACAGCTATTTACAGACCGCATCATTTGATGTGTGCACATTAAACAAAAACAAGCTATTTCAAATTTGACGCTTACCATCGGTATTTTTAAAACGGTAAAAGGTACAGCGTTACTTAAGAAGTGTTTAAATTGCGTTTTCAATTGTCCAAAATGTGAAAAGGTACTTCCTAAAATATAGATACCTACTAATACTTTGTCTTCAATACTTTCAAAAATCGTTTTCAACATGGAGAAAGTAAGTAAATGGAGTGATTATCATCATACAGTAGACGCCTGCCATTTGGTGATTGTTATTAAATAAATAAATAATTTCTAACCCCTTGAAGCTTTGATTTAGTTAAATAAAAATAAGACGCGTTCAATTAGATTCAATTCACCCATTAGAGATAACTTCAAATGAATGAGGACATATTGTTACAACTGCCAATCCTTCGTCGGAAATCGAAACCCGGCCCCTGGTTTTAGAAAGTATTTGTGAGTAAAACCAGGGCCCGGGTTCGGTTCCCGGCGAGGGAGTCACAGCAGCAGCAATTTTTTCTCATTAATTTGAGGTTATCTGTAGGTAGAGGATTGAAAATGAAAATATTTGGATTTATTATGATGTGTTAATTTCATAAAAGATATTTCGACAGAATACAGACCACTTCGAATTATTTTATTCAATTATGGTAACGTGCCTATCACGTTGAGGTTAGCTACGCCGGGATTCGTTTCAGCAAGTAGATATCCATATATTTAAATGGACCTTGTTGGAGCATACGTAATCCTAAAATGTAGCATCGTACTACAGATGGCGTTTACCGCGCCATTTGTGGTATTTTCTAAAACGCGCTGTTAAGACAGCAGGTAAAAGTTGGTCTGTGTTCTGTCGGAGCTGTCTGCGACGCGCTGATGAGATCCAAAAAGATCGAAATCGCGATCCGCGTCTGGCAGTTTCGACACAATACAGACCACTTCGAATTATTTTGTTCGATAACTGCTGAACTTATTATTTCTAGGGGTAGTAAAATCTGATTCAGATTAAACGAACTGTATGTACATACATACATTTTGTGGTAGCCTTGTTAAAATATTGTTTAAGGACGGATTATATATGTGTTAATGACATGTAGTGCTTAGTTATGATCCGGGGCGACCTTTGGGGTTGATGAGCAGAGCAACCGCCCGGGTCCTGGCTCTTGCAAGGGATTCAGGCACTCGCTCAACAGTCTAAGTAGAAATATGTTAGGTAGTATAATACGAATAGTACATATATACCTCTTAGTCTTAAAAAAAACGCAAGCATCATTTCTAAATCCCTGATTCTTCTAAGACATTAATGCAACTTAGTTTATCATCATTAATAGTAATTGGTTATCTTTGTGTTTATTAATTTTTGTTAATTTTCAATAAACAATTTTAAAACTCTAAATTTATTTATGAATAACTTTAAGTTTCTAGTTAATTATTGTTATTAATTCCACAAAGACAAGGGTCTCACAAAATTCTAGTCGCCCGAAGCCTCGCAATGGCTTAGGCCACCCCTGGTTATGATTATGACTTACGTTAATTCTGCTTGACTCCATATTATTAGTGAATAATAATTAGTGTTAATATTGTTGCCTTTATTTTTGAATTGATTCGTACAGATTACGTTAATGACATCAACGCAATCCCTCAATAGTCTTACAGTATCTACGGTCTATTTCAATTTGTTAGAATTGTGACCTTGAAGAAATCTGCGCGAAGATAGAAAGAATACACACTAGGCGTGAGCAAGACAGAAATAGTTGGAACAAGCTTGAACGAGCAGAGCTCTCGATGGGCGGGCTTAGGAGATCGGCTAGAACTGTACAGTACTAGACGAAAATGTTTACCAAATTCTTAAAACAAAAATGTATATAAATTAACAATAGAAAACAAAGAAAAAGTTTTATAGGTGTATAGAACGTTAAGTTACTTCACTAATGCTTTTAAATGAAGCATATTCTTAAATTTTAACGAGACGGTTTAAATAATTTTGCAAATGGTACTGTACACTTTTGTCTAGTTCTCGCTCGATGATCGGTGGAGAAATGATTTCCGCCGACAAATATGATTGAATTTGGAATTATGCTACGGCGCATTCTAATAAAGGGAAGGGGCATATCTCTAACTTCTTGAAACGAACAGTACCTTTATTCGTTAACTTTATGCCTAATTCTTTGACGGACTTAATTAGTTTCAGTGAATTCTTTTGTTCACCAAAAGAGCATGCGGTTATACGCTGTAGATTTAGAATTAATTACCTACTTATAGCCTCTTTGCATTCAGATATTTTTCATATACTTAGTTATCAATTTTCATGGTTGTAAACTTAACGCATGTAACAATTACTTGTACGCATTGTTTCGCGGGATGGAAAATTAACGTGTCTGTAATTTAATTATCATGCTTTCTAAATTACAGGGACGTATTAAGGAACAATGATATAAATAAAGTACAGTTTAAATTATACGTCACACGCATATCTTAAATGTGAAGCTTCGATACGACAGAAAGTAGTGGAACATTCGAGAACATTCCAAACAACTCTATAATTTTTGGAACATTCAGGGTTCTTAAGGAAAATCTTGGAGGTTCTGTAAGATTGTACGTAACAGTTACTCAAGAGCCCCACTATAATTTTTTGAACAGTCTGCGTGCTTCACTCATTTGTCTAGTGAATCTATTCTAAAACATCCTGAAACTTTTCGGAAAGTTAAGATTTGCATCTCCAGGTGCAGATATTACTAGAGATCGTTTAGAATCTCATGAACCTATTAGCTGAGAGTTGCGCATTGACAAAATTCCACTCGATCATTGATTTCTACATTTTCACCTGTTGGAAACGTTGATTGACACTGTTTATAGTTTTTCTTGAATACCATCACTGTTTGGATAGCGAGACACATGGTTAAGAGTCGTGTCAATCTATTAGTAATGTGCAATAAGAATTCAGAAAGGTCTACCTCTCGTGCATGTAAGGGCTCATAGGATTTTGAACTAGTTGCACCTCTTATTGCTAATGACAGACCAAATACACACAAATACAAACCTTCCAACCCTTAAACTGCCTTTTTGTGCGTTAATTACTATTCTAATAGCTTATTTTAGAACTATAATTTGAAACCTTTATATTGAATTTCCATTTAGACAATTGTAATGTAAATATGAAATTAGTTGTTTTATTATAGTATATATAAATACGTTGGCATGTATAATAACGCTACCAAAAACCAACAGACGCGGCCGTAATATAGACTGCAAGACAACAAGGAAGTTACGGGAAGTTTCCGAAAATATTAAGGAATATTCTATGACAGTGGAAATGAGTAACCAAGATCTTATATGAGATCGATAAATGAGGATGAACGAAAAAAGTCAGAAGTTGTATAAATTATTAAGTAAATAACTGTCGGTAGGCACAATGTGTGTTTAAGTACTTTATTATACTCAATAGTTGAGTACGGTCCTGTTTATACATATTTGAACTTGACATTCTGTATTTTCACTTCGATTCATCTGACTATAAGCTCACATTAAGTGGTACTTAAAAATAATTGCATGATATGTAAACTTTTCGAGAAGATCCGACGAATACACACATCAAATACAATTGAAACCTGCCAAGAGAAATTGGAAAATGTGTAGGAAAAAGACAAGGGAACTCGTTAAGAGAGAGAAAATTAACACTTTCATTTTAGTGTTTAAATATGTTGACGATGTATTGTGATATTATTCGGTCAAATGTTTTGATTATTATAAAAGAATAATTTTAGTTCTTAAATACATCGAAATTATGTTGTTAAAGCTTTTTTATTTTCATAGATTGCTNCTTAAATACATCGAAATTATGTTGTTAAAGCTTTTTTATATTATAGCTTTTGAATAGGTTTCATTTCTACTATAATTATAATGATTAGGTGATTTTCCTAGGTATTTACTAAATATATCATGTTTTCTCCAAAAATATGCACAATTTTTAGTATTTATACATTATTATAAACTTTATTTAAGATTAACTTTGCTTACCGATGAAAATCGTGGGAAGGGTGCTAAAACAACAAAAAATAGTTTAAATAACACAATAATGTTCAATGATAAACAACTAAATAACAATTTCTAAGTAAATTTTACTTGTCAACTCATTTAAAACTGTTATAAACTTACGGATGGGTCAGATATATGTCATTTTATATTAAAAAGTAAAAAATATTTGCTTTATGCACAAAAACTACAAATATTCATTAATAATAAAAGTAGTAATAGTAATACTCATTAATAATAATAGCATTATAAATAGACTTGGAATTAATATTATATGAACTTGTCCAGTTAAAAATTTCACATAAAGTATCAAATTATTAACTTAATATTGTCACTGATCCAACTAATATGTACCTATTCATTTCAAATTTTTCTTCTTTTTAAATACTTATTTCACAGTTTTTAAAGGTTAATTGTGGCTGTAGATATTTATACTTGGATAATATACGTAAAGTACTAGATACGACTGCAGAATATCAATACCGTGTTAACGCAGACTTGTTTCTTTCATAAGCTAATTTAACCGAGAATTTAATGTAATTAAGGTAAATCAAATTGAAAAAATTAAAAGGAATACTCACCCCTAATTACCACAAATAAATTTTATATGAGCGGACACGTGTTTCGCCCACTTCACACGTGAGACTTAGACTCGCGTTGATAATGTCCACGTGTGAAGTGGGCGAAACACGTGTCCGCTCATATAAAATTATTTGTGTTGTAATAAGGGGTGAGTATTCCTTTTAATTTTTTAATTAATATTTACCACAGTCTCCTCCTTCTATTTTTAAGATAAATCAACTGAGGTAATTTCCATGTAATTTAAATGAATCCGACAGGCATGGCCCAGACGCCCAAAGCCTAGAGGTTTATACCATTGCTTAGCATTCTTTTTTTGCAAAAATAAAAAATTACACAAGTCTATTGAATAATCGATATATTACATACCTACATGGTAGTCTTGCAACAGACCTCTGCTTCCGCTTCCGCAATTATGGAAGTTCCGCATACTTTTTTACATCCGCTTCTGCATAAGGTTCAGCGTTTTTATAATGGAAGCTTATCGGAACTTAATTTCTTATTTCTCATATTTTTAAAAAAGAAAAAGTATCGGAACAACAATTATAGTTTAGGGTTTAAATCAATTTCCTACTTTTTCGTATGTTGATATTTTCCAAATTTTATTCTCTTATTGGTTTCCTACTTTAATCTGACAACATCCGGGACTTTTAGCTCCCCCATAGCAATTCTCCCAATAATTTCATTTCGAAAATACTAGGGTCAATTGAAAAATCCCCGGCCTGACACATAGATGGCGACACCAGAACTAAATCTGTGGGGGTTCGGTATAACTCGCACATATAATTAAATAAACGTGAATGTGAATAACAATAACAATTTATTAATATTAATACAGGAGGTTGATCAATGTTCGAAGCAGTACAAAATCTTNGAGGTAATTTCCATGTAATTTAAATGAATCCGACAGGCATGGCCCAGACGCCCAAAGCCTAGAGGTTTATACCATTGCTTAGCATTCTTTTTTTGCAAAAATAAAAAATTACACAAGTCTATTGAATAATCGATATATTACATACCTACATGGTAGTCTTGCAACAGACCTCTGCTTCCGCTTCCGCAATTATGGAAGTTCCGCATACTTTTTTACATCCGCTTCTGCATAAGGTTCAGCGTTTTTATAATGGAAGCTTATCGGAACTTAATTTCTTATTTCTCATATTTTTAAAAAAGAAAAAGTATCGGAACAACAATTATAGTTTAGGGTTTAAATCAATTTCCTACTTTTTCGTATGTTGATATTTTCCAAATTTTATTCTCTTATTGGTTTCCTACTTTAATCTGACAACATCCGGGACTTTTAGCTCCCCCTTAGACAGTTCTCCTAATAATTTCATTTCGAAAATACTAACACAGTTATAGCGTTTATTTATTTTGTATAGTGTTTGCTCAGTGGTGTAAATTTCGAGTAAAAAGTGCAATTTTGAAGCCGAAAAGAAGTTTCATTTGATATTATTTTGTTGATATTAACAATGCAAAGAGTTACCTAAAATTATTACACTTCCGCATCCGCTTCCGCAAAAATTTACTATTTACTTCTGTTTCTACTCTTGTTTCCGTTATAACACTTCCGTTACACCACTACTACGTAGATATGTCTATTAAAAAAAGTCTTTTGTTTCAAACTAACAATTTCCTCTTTTTTGAAAATCCACATTTCGTTTGGATTTCTTTCAAAAATAACATTAACAGAAATAAGTGATAAAAATGGGGATAGGTATCATTATACAGAAGTGTTTTATTTAATGTATGTAGCAAATGAAATTTAAGTAAGTATACATATTGTATCAGACGCAACTGTATTTGTATCAGGTAAAGGAAGGAAAAAAATTATAAATACGTACTCATAATAATATAAAAATTTATTTGTCTTACAACAAAATTGTAAACTATTAGAATTTATGTAAATAACCAGTTCTAGCAATGTGTAGGGAGAAGTACGATTTAGTTGAAGATTTATGGTAGTAAATAATTTATATAATTTACGTTAGCATATGTACATCTTTATGATACGATTTAGTAAGTATCTATGCACATTTTGTTTTTGGAAATGAAAAAGAAGAATATCAGGTTAAAGATGGTTTGCACAGTGTGGTACGAATTCTGGTTCTTCGCATGTCAGAGACGAAGGATCGAACACTTTTCCTTCTCCACATGTGATCAATCGGGGATGACCATTCACGCACGTTATTAGACGTCCACAATCTCCTGGTACCGGAAATCTGGGATACGGCCAAAATTTAGCTGCAACACTGTTCGACGGTACTTTTGTTGGGCATTTGAAACCGACAACAGCTGAAAACGTTACGAGGAACATTACAAAAAATTTATTTTATTTAAAGTTTTCAGACAAATTAAATTCAAACGTTTAATTGAAAGAAATTTTAAACAGAGCATGAGCAAATTCGTTCTTACTACATAAAGTACAATTTTGGCAAAACAACAAGTTAAAAAACCGACAGACAGATACCCAAGTGATACTATAAGGGTTCCGTTTTTCATTCGAACGTACGGAACGTTAAACCGAAGTTGAAAAAAGGCATGTTTTCCCATACATTCAAACTGTAAAAGTGAATTTATACACAAAATATCGTTTTGTTGAAAGATTTACCATGTTACGTTCAGACCATAGACTTCTTATTAATTTTCCTGTAATCTATAAATAAAGTACTATTTTCTGTATTTTCTTTTTTAATTTTAGGTTCAGTAGTTTCGGAAATAAGGGGGCGCGGAATAGCCCAACTATTTATATTAAAATTATAAAGAAAATATATTTGAGACCCTTACAACAAGCCCTTTCATTTGATGTTACATGGTGCAGTTTGCAAAACCTTTTTTTTAATTTCCTATTGGTCCCCCCAAAAAAGGCCCATGTTCAAAATTGATTTATTTACGTTATGCGTCCGCGTTTGGGTGACAGAAATTCATATGTACTAAATTTCAACATAATCGCTAGATTCGGAGCAAATTGACTGTGATAGATGGACAGATAGACACACGAGTGACCCATTAAGGGTTTTAGTTTTTCATTCAGACGTAAAGAACCCTAAAAACGAAATTTATCTGTTTCAATCGATCCTTCCGTCTTTTTGTAGGAAGTGTATTGCCATCTAGTGGGTTTCTGCAGCTACTGAAGTATTTACAATTTCTAACAAATTAATCAGCAAGCAATAGTTAATCCGTATAAATTGATAATTGATATATTACACAAATACGAGCAGGGTAATATCATCATCTACTGGATACTAGATGGCGGTCCACAGTCCGTATTTGGATACCAAATCGAGGTAAACTGCTTGTATATTTGAATATTACGTCAACTCGACCTTTAGGGGCTGGTTTGATTTGCCAACGTGGTCTAGAAGTTTAGGTTATAGCTTTGCATTCGGAAGGGCATCCGTTCTTTGTTTTTTTTTTGGATCATTTAGACAAAGATTGAGACAGTGATATTCTACAGACAATCTTGTACTTCTTCTCCGTTTTCAATTCCCTACACTCATCTTTCTCTCTCCACTACCACGATTCCTAAAAGAAGGCTGAAGAGGGTCTTCCGTCCGACCCTCCGGCATGGCCCTGAGGGATTACCTGATCACCAGCGAAAAATGCTGGAGGAATGAAGCATCAAATCTTGTTTTTTAGTAATTTATCGAGGCAGCCTATAACGCCCGGATGAGATCAAAGAAAATTGAAATCGCAATCCGCGTTCGATAATTTTCTGACTAAGAACTTAAACGTTTTATCTTTTAGTACATAATTAATAAAAACCTTTTAAGAAACATAAACTCCCTTAAATAAAAGTAGTCCAAATCAAATCAGGCTTTAAAATTGGGTAAGACTTAGCACTTCTTTGAAAACTTACTTCCAAGATGATGTTCTACGGAATTTTGATGTGCTAGACGTTTCCCTGTTCCTTGCTCACAGAAACTTGATTGATTGACTGACATCAGTCACAACTTAATATCTTAGACTGATGTCGGTCAGTCATGTAGATGACCATCAGCAAGGAACATCTAAACATCTGCCCTCTCTTAGGACAAACCAACACGGAAGTAAGTTAGGAAACCATCTATACTGGTTGTGAAAGTCTTACAAGTGCAGTAAAAACGTCATACTTTTTAAAAGTATAAAGATTTTGTTTGTTTATATGTTTTGAATTACATGCTCTAAACTTTAGATTAGACAAAATACATCATTTTTCACGATCAGTTCATTTTAATAATCCCATTCTTTATTTAAAAAAATAAAATGTATCTTTAAAATCACAAACTACCACATACCTTCTGGATTACAAGTTTCGGATAGTAAATCTGGCCAATTGCAACCGTGTATTTTGTGATCATAGACTAATCCGGGGTCGCAACTTTGTGGAATGGGTTCACCATGGGCACATTTCACGTAGTGGGTGGAACAATCTTGGCTGTATGGGTAGATTCCGAAGAGATATTCACATCCAGGGGTACTTATAGGGGTCACTGTAACATATTCAATCTTTTAAATGCGTATTTAGAGTACCTATTACCACATTGTTAATTAATTTATAAAATTAATATTATCGAAGTGAATATATAGGTAGATATTTTATGCGACGTCGTTAAATGGTTTCTCCATGAGTGGTATACTTCATTTACTTTCTGTAGCGATGTTCCCCTTGCAATGTCTTGGATGCGCGCTGGCAAAATCGTAGGTAGGGAGAAAAAAGCTCATTATACTCTCGACTCTTGTTCATTAAATATACTTTTTCATACAGTACCTGCCAAAAGTTCTGTTCAATCATGAATAGTAGTGCGAGTCGAAAACAAGCGTTAAAGCCTTTAATATGTCTTCAAATATAAATAAACATCTCGTTGATATTTTTAGTAGTAAGTGGTATCAATAACAACACATTTGAGCAATTCAATTGAAGTGGATAAAATGGTCAATTTTTCCGTGCAGTACTTTACGGATTATACGCTCCTCACCGGTTAAGAGTTTAGCCGAGAGTTGTCTCCTTCCTTTTCTGGCTTAGTGCTGTTCTTTTCTACTTTGCGCCGGCCAAATTGAGGGTACATCGCTACAGAAAGTAAACGAAGTATAGCTCTGATTTCAAGTATCACTGTATAGTATCGACAAAATAAAGTACAACCCTTTCTTAAATCATTTTAAACTAAGTCTCTGTTTTACTTACAGTCTGCTTTTCGGGCTCCACATTCAACTGCCCAATTGTAGTTACAGTGGTTGTGAACAGCACCTTTCCCATCGAAAAGTAAACCGTTCTCGCAGGTTTCCACAGTTAAGGTGCCGTTTGTACATAGGAAGAAGTGATTGCATGATTCGGGGTGAGCGTATGCTTGTACTCCGAGGGGTTCTGGACATGCAGGGGCGTTATCAACAAGAACACCACCTTGCACTGCAACAACAAGGATTGTCATTATTAAAATGTATTTCGATAAGGGTAATTTCGTGGCATGTGCATTAAATTAAATGAAAAGTACAGGCATAAATGAAGATAGAGTGCCGGAATTTGTCTATAACAACATTGGTTGTAACGACAACTCCGATGTAACGCCAGCTTTACCATTCAAACCGTTAATAATAACATTCGGTTATTAGAAAAAAGAAGTTCATGGTGATCTGTCGAAACTGCTTGACCACCATGAACTTCGTGTTTGTTCAATTTTGTTACGTAGGGATGATCTACGCCGTAGATTCAGTTCAGCAAGTAGATATATCAATTTTTTTTTGTAAATGGACCTTGTTGAATTTATTGAATTCCACTGCATGGGGCCACAGATGGCGTTCACTACGCCGTTTGTGTTACTTCATTGTTTTACTCGGTTATTACGTCAAAATGTCGCCATTCTATAGAACAACACTGTAACCAATTCCTACTGTATCGATTTTCAAACAAACATACACTGTAAATTATCTATAAGGAAATTTAAGAGTAAAGAAAAAGTGAATATTGGCTTATGTAAATATAGTAGACGAAAAATTAGAAGTGGTCGATTTTAGGTACCTAGGAAGTCAGAAAAGTCAGGACGGAAGGAGTAGTAGGGATATAAAGCAGAGGATAGCGCAAGGTCGAGTCGCCCTCAATAAAAAGAAGTCACTTTCATGCTCGCGAACGGTTAATTTAGAAATTCGGTTGTTAAAAGTGTATGTTTGGAGCGCGACGCTGTACGGGTGCGAAACATGGACGGTAGACGCGGTGGATAAGAAAAGATTAGAAGAGTTCGAAATGTGGTGTTATAGGCGAATGATGAGGATACCGTGGACAGAGAAGATTAGAAATGAAGAGGTATTAGAAAGAATCGGAAAACAGAGGACTCAATGGAAGTCAAGAAGAAATAGGCGAGATAGGTTGGTAGGACACCTTCTCAGGCATGAAGGTCTAGTCAGAGACATATTAGAAGCAGAAACAGGAGTTAGGAGGGGTAGAGGTAGAACTAGATTAGATTACTGTTCGCAAATAGTTAAAGATGTGGGATGTTCTAGTTTTATGGAAATGCGAAGATTAGCTCAGGATAGGAAAGAGAGGACTGACGATCTTATGATCATGAAATGTAACATGTTGTTCCATTACAGAAAATAGTTGCTTCGTTACAGTCAGAAAATTGGTTGGTATACACACATACATGTAGATTACCTATGTATAAAGAACACAAATTATTTCAGTAATATTGATACACAGATTTCTTGGGTTATTTTGACAAGATGATTTTTGAGGATACAGGGCGATGAATAGCAATATTATTTAAACTTTCTAAGCTGTAGAAAATATTCTTAATAGTACAGGAAATAATCCCTTGGAGTTGTTCCTCATTTGTTTTATATGTATACACCTTATGTATGTAACGGGGCGTCTTTCCTAATAAGAGGTCTCGTGAAATGGATGTTTGTTCTTACAGAAAGTTTTAGTTATGAATTCATGATGTAATCACTTTCATTTGAAAACTCTTTTTATGTATTTAAGTGTGTAATTATCTACAACTAACTGTCCATATATTGCGTTAAGTACACGATCTTGAACGTAGGAAGGTGAGGAACTTAAAAAAAACTCATTTATTTGTATTAAAAATTAGCATTTCTTTTCAGACGAACTACCATTGACTGAAGTCAATGTTTGCCAAAATGAAACTAACGTGAAATAATCTAAGAAATATTGTTAGATTTACTAATTACGAAAGAGCTTTTTTGTTACAAAGCTACAATTCAACAAAAGAAATGAATTCCGCTAAAAGTTGAACATATGAAAAGCTAATCCAGATCTAAGTCCCTGTTAAAGAAACAAATGTACAAAATATTATTATCGATATCCTGGTTCTTTCTGCAGAAAGAAAGCATGCTAATGGTAAATTACTTGTTTTACTAAAAAAAATGGTTTAAGAAATGTATATGGTGATACAGTGACGATGTGGCGATCATTTAGCCACGGCTACTATTACATCCCATCCTTACCTTATGACCAAATATTGACATTTAAACATGTCAAAAGATTGGTGATTTTTAACTAAAAATTTCGACCAAATGACAATATCCTGGAACATGCTGGATATCAAAGGTGGACCGCACAGTTTTGATAATTCAAGAGAGTCGAATCTTGAAAGAGCATTTATAAGCTTAATCATAGATGTAACGGATTTAATTATACTAATAGTGATATTGATAAATTGATGTATCCTTGTAGATACAACAATAAAGTCTTGCTAATTGTTTCTCGCATTATGGTCGAATTTTCCCATAAATATTCTGATGTGTATTATTTACTATCTACATTTGAAAACAATACAAAATTTGCATTGAATGATCCAGAATCATTATTACGCTGGTTACATCATAATTAGGTACCTGCTAAGGTATATTGTAGAAACACAAATCTGCAGTCGATGCTATAATTTAAACGTTTTAAATTATTTTTACCGTCCGTCTGCCTTGGCCCAAGTTTGTCTGTGGTTTCCTTGGATTTCTTAAGCAAATGTTGGGGCAGTAATATTCTACAGATAATCTTTCATTCTTTTCTGTTTTAATTTCGACTGTCTCAAATTTCTCACCCGAACTACCACCCACCCATTCCCACGATTCCTGGAAGGAGGCTGAAGAGGATTTTCCGCCCTACCTTCCGGCGTACTTTGGAGGAACTGCCCACTCACCAGCATTAGTGGCTGGTGGGTACGAAACACCAAAAAGTTTTCTACTGTATTGATAGATAAAAAAATAGAATAACTGATTACGACATAGCACTGTAAATGTTGATAGGACAACTTCTGAAACATGAAGGGCTAGTTGAACGTATATTAGAAGCCGAAAAAGAGGGGTAGACCTAGGTTAAATTAAGTACAATTGCAAATAGTAATATATGTAGATGTTGATCGATTTTTTGAGAAATGGAAATATTGACTAAAGATAGGAAGAAGTGCAGGGGCATATCCAACCACTCATCGAGCTGAAGACATTATGATGACAATGAAGACGGCGATGATGATGATGATGATGATAATTATATATGGAGGATGATATAAAGACAAGGTTTGGATAATTGTTTTAAAGTTGCGATCATATTTTCCCCTTAACAATATAACCAAACTCAAGCTATCCTAATTCCCAACGAAACATTTGGCAATCCCACTGAACCTTAGATAGTCACTTTTCTCAAAACCTCCTGAGAGCAACTAAATGTAGATTTGTAGTAACTGTTGTTTGTTTATTTTTCGTTTGTCATTTTTCTTTTGTGTATTATACATGGAAGTGATATTAGGTTTTGGAACATTTATGTATCATTAGCGTAATGAAACCTTGAGTAAGTAACTGTGAAAGTAACCTGTCTACATATACCTACAGCAATAGCCCTGTTTTCTTGCCTTATTATACAATTATTATACATTATTATACAGTACATAAACAATTATTCAAAACTATTTCTGATAATGACCTACATCATATTAATATAAAACTAAATTAAAAATCCATCAAAAAAGTATTAGTAACAAAACTATTTTGGAATTTTAAGGCTAAAATAAAAAACCATCCAAAATATTTATACCTGTGGCTGAAACTCTAAAATTCCGTTAGAAAATTACAACATTACAAAAAATTTCTTTATTGTTAATAACACAGATAAAAAAGTTACCAATTCCTTCTTTATGCTTAGCGTTTATTTTTACCATATAGTTTGGCAATATTACTCAGCTAATTAAAAAGTTAAACAACTAAAGAAAAAAGGAAACTTGTTACGTATGGCCGAGAATGCCCAAGCATTATTTTATTTGTCCAAAATCACATTCTTGTACTCCATAAGGGAGATTTTCCAATCAATTTAGATACTTAAAAAAATGTATTAGGTAAAGTGAAAGGTTCACTTTAAATGGTTTAAAATGCCAGACTGCTACATGAATTTGTTCTAACATTTTGGGGCAAGATATTGGATGGTTGAATCATTTGATGAAATTGAAACCGTGGAAATAGGTGTAACAGAATTCAAACAACTTTAAAAAGTAGAATGCATTGAATTGATATTATTTTCCGCTACCATCTATCAGGTTCCATATGGATAACATTACAGCAGTTAAACACTTTCCCTTAAAGTAATTTAGCCAGTTCTTAATTGATATAATGTAATATAATGTCACTGTTACCACTTATTACGTACACTTTATAATTACCATGAGTATTTTTTCTCACCTAATATTAGTTAAAAGGGAAATTTTATTTAGGTAAATGGTAACCACAAACAATAAAATTAATTACCCAGAGAAAGCCCGGATAGATTACCTCTTGTTGTTTATTTTCTGCTTTCTCAATACGATTATTTAATTGCAGGCTAGTAAGAAGTGAATTAATTATCATAACCAGAGAAAAATTTGAGGATTTATTTTATAATGCGTTCAAAACGTTTTCTACAGTGTCACATGTTTGTAACATAACAAGTTCCCAAACAAATAATAATAAAAAGACAGTTTAAGAAAAGTTCAATAACTAAGCACTTACCATTTGCAAGAGTGGTTATTAATGTCACTAAAACCAACAACCTTTCCATGTCGCGCTATCCTTGGTGACTGACGATAAGCCGACCAAAGCACTTTCTACATTAAACACCATGTTGTTCCGCGGGCAACTTTGGATTACACTTAACGTATCTAGAAGTACACACATTTACACACACACATACATACATATGAGCCTATACCCTTCACCTCTGGCTGGTATATGGCATATTTGCCATTCATAACAAGTTTCTTGTGCCGTTTGTAATACAACTTGGAGTAAATATGTAATTTACCACCGAAAAGTACAACCAGCTGAAAAGCAATTGAGATTCGTGGATCTTAAATTATGGCTGACATCCTAAAATAATGTTTCCGTCATTACAAGTGTAATATATCATCATTTTTGGGAGAGGTAATCAAATTTGAGTCCTTGAGGATATTATTAAACACTAGCATCATCTACTACAGGTTACATTGCAATTCTACTTCTCATAGTGCTTGGACACGTTATAGTCCAGTCGGTAGAGAATTTTCCCAACATGTTACCGGACGGGAGTTGTTCCTTGTTATAGACGGGGAAAAGTTAAATAAGGGGATTTAAATGAATTTTTTGATTTGCCCCTAACGGGATATGAAAAACTCACCTTTACGAAGAGATTGAACCTATATGCAACTGAAAATGTTTGCTCAAAAGAAGTTACGGCAATAACTCTTCTCTTCATGTCTGTTGGGATAAACAATTAACAATATCTCACTAACAAATTGACCAATTTACGCGACTGGACTATTATATTGCTTATCAAGAAAAGTGAAAATTTTGATGGTGTTGTAGAACACGACAAATAGCCCAAACCCCAAATCCAAAACACAACACCAATTATCCAAAGTAATTGGCTACTTACCACCTCCAAAGACTAAAGATGGTTGTTATATTGCTTAAGGGTGGTCCAATCTATAGGGGAAAGCGATTTACAATTAGTCAAAAGTTACCATCCCTTTAGTAAACAACCTACCAAACAGTTTGATGTAACCATCCAGCTTTGGCACCCTACTAAAATACATTGTTTTAGCATTTACTATTTAGTGAAGAAGTTAACAGTAGGAACTTTTAGTAAAAGATCTAGCGCTCGTTTTGGTACTAGGCCAAAATAGCACCGCTTAGTAGGTAGAAGTCATAGACAAAAATATTTTGAAACTAGGTCAACATTCACACTCTTTAATGTATATACTGGGTTAATAGTATCATTTTTTGGTAGAGGATCTAGTATCGCACTCATTTATGTTCTTAGTGACCCAACAGTAGCGCTACTTCATAAAAAACCACCACACCCCAGTAGAAGACATAAATAAACTTAAGATATGGACCTAGACTTAAAAAACTAGACCAATATTCACACCCTTTAGTGATCATTTATGTACTGGTGCAAAGGTATCACCCTTTGGTAAAGGATCCAGCATTCCGTTTGGCATTTGGTCGAAATTCACACTCTTTTAAGCACTTAGTAATTTAATACTAGTATTTCTTCGTAATAGATTCAGCATGCATTTAGGTACCGCACTAAGATTAGCATTTCTTACAGTAGAAGATTTAAAGACACTTATGATGTTGACCTAGACTTGAAAACCAGATCAACATTCATACCCTTTGGTACTCACTTAAGTGCTGGACAAATAATATTACCCTTTTAGTAATAGATATTGTAATTAGTATCGTAATTGTCCAAAATTCGTATTGTTTTAAGTTATTTAGTGACTCAACGGTAGCACTTCTTCGTAATAGATTCAGCACGCATTTAGATACCGGACTAACATTATTAAATTAGTAGAAGACATAAAGACACTTAAGATGTTGATGTAGACATAAAAGTTAGATTAACATTCACACCCTTTGGTGCTCATTGAAGAGGTGAGCTTATAGAATCATTTTTTGTAAAGGTCCCAGTATTCAGTTTGGTATTGGTTGAAATTGACACTCTTTTAAGCAGTTACTGTGTCAATACTACCGCATCTTCGTAATAGTTTCAGCATGCATTTAGGTATTGAGCCAAGATTAGCACTCTTTACAGTAGAAGATTTAAAGAGACTTAAGATGTTGACCTAGAGTTGGAAACCAGATCAGCATTCATACCCTTTGGTACTCATTTAAGTGCTGGATCAATAATATCACCGTTTCAGTAATAGACCCTATAATTAGTTTGGTAATTGGTCAAAATTCGTATTCTTTTAAATTATTCCTGACTCTATAGTAGCTCTACTTCATAATAGATTCAGAATGCATTTAGGTACTGGACTAACATTACTACTCCTTAGAAGAAGACATAAATACACTAAAGATGTTGATTTAGACATAAAAGTTAGACCAACGTTCACATCCTTTGGTGCTCATTGACGTGCTGGGCTTATAGAATCACTTTTTGTAAAGGTCCTAGTATTCAGTTTGGTACTTGGTCGAAATTCACACTCTTTTAAGTACTTAGTGACTTAATACTAGCATTTCTTCGTAATATTTTCAGCATGCGTTTAGGTTAGATTAGGAATCCATAGTTATAGATATAAAGACACTTAAGATGTTGACGTAGACTTAAAAAATAAGGTTAACATTCACACCCTATAATATATATTTATGTGCTGGGCTAATAGAATCACTCTTTGTAAAGGCCCAGTATTCAGTTTGGTATTTGGTCGAAATCACATCTTTTGGGAGACATTTAAGTAACATTGAGCCAACAGTATTAATCCTTAGTAAAGGATCCAGTATTCAGTTGACGTAGACTTAAGAACTAGGTCAGCATTCACACCCTTTAATATTCATTTATGTACTGGACTCATCGCAAAGGTCCCGTATTCAGTTTGGTACTTGGTCAATCAACTTGGTGACTCTACAGTGATTTTATTTTATGTTTCTAATTTTTCTTTTTTTTCTGATGTACCTGAAATGTTTTTCTCGCACGTGTGATATAATATAGCACGCTTATTAGAAATTTTTAGTTGATATACCTCGATAGTTGAGTGTAAATTTTGCCCTGAGTTTTTGTTATTGTACGAACAAGTATTACGAGTAGTCAAAAAATGAACACATTTGTTGTATCGCCTCGTACCATCAGGTTGGCGTACTATTCTGGAAAGTGAAAGTTGCATTAAAAACACATATGCAGTATACCTACACTTACGAATACTTTTGATACGTATTAAATTTGGTAACCAACAGACAGAACGTTTTCTTTTGTTATAGTCTTTTAGAATAATTAAAGAAAAAACAAAAGAATTTTACAAATAAAACGTTTAATGTTTGATAATGAAGAAAAGTTGTAATGATGGACGATATGCTATCACTTTCTCTCTCCTTATTTTAGCTGCCATGTTTGGTGCTCAAATGCGACTTATCGTTTCGTTATAGGAAATGACCACTTCGTTACGGAGAGTTAATCTATACATACGTTTTAATGTAATCCAATCGAGCTCAAGAAATATGTACATATTAATGCTATAAATAGTCTTTCGTAACGTAGGGGTTTGTTTTACAAAGACGTCATTTATCGTACTTAAGATTTACGTAGTTGTTTGTTTTAGCGATATATTTATAGTTTTTTGTTATTTTTTATAGTAACATATCATTTGTTACCTACTTAGTTTTAACGATTTGGGATTTAGGACTTTGCAACATTAACCAGAAGTTAGTTATACAGCACAGGTATAGAAAATACATGCTAAGCATAACATATGTATGTGAGTATACAATATACCTGTCTGCATTTATTTGTAGGTACACTTTCACTGATCTGGATATTTATATATTTATGTATTTTGGTTATACAACTTTATCTCACGTAGTACTAGCAGGCATGGAATATAGATACATAATAGTAATCAAAGTGATTTTTTTGAAAACTTATGTAATGATTTAAAATGTTGAATATGCAAAATTTTGTTTATTTTAAACCGAAAAACAATTTTCTTTTTGGTTTTGATTAAACTGAAATATTCATTGTTGAATCAGTAAACAATAAGTAACTGTGTATTATAAATATATATGAGCCGCTACTTTCTGGAAAATGGGGATACAATTCCCATAATCTTTTTGATTGCGCTCAAATTTCAAGAATAAATATAGGTACGGTGTTGTCCACTAACAAAACCGAGCAGCATGGCCTAGAGGTTTAGACCATTGCTTGGCATTCGGGAGGACGCCGGTTCGATTCCGGGTCCGTCTGCCTTGGTCCAAGTTTTTCTGTGGTTTACTTGGATCACTTAGGCAAATGCTGAGGCAGTAATATTCCACAGATAATCTTTCACTCTCTTCTGTCTTCATTTCGTCCGTCTCATCTTTCTCACCCGAACCACCACCCACCCATTCCCACGATTCCTGAAAGCAGGCTGAAGAGGGCCTTCCGCCCTACCTTCCGGCGTAGTCCGGAGGGACTGCCCACCCATCAGCATTGCTGGCTGGTGGGAATGAAACACCCAAAAGTATTTTTAGTTTTTTCTACTAACAAAGGACTTATGGACATAACTAGGGGTGAGCCCGGGTGGTCAAAGACTATGCAAGTTCGACCCAATGTGCAGGTCTACTCTGAATATCAACTTAACCTATCATCATCATCATAAGGTCGTCAGCTCTAAGACTGGTTGGACACGCACCTCCACTCTTTCCTGTCTTGAGCTAATCGTCGCATTTCTTTAAAACTAAAACATCTCACATCCTTAACTATTTGCGAACAGTAATTTAATCCAGGTCTTCCTCTACTCCTCCTAACTCCCGTTTCTGATATGTCTAAGGTTAGCCCTTCATACCTGAGAAGGTGTCCTACCAACCTATCTCGCCTATTTATTATTGACTTCCATAGAGTCCTCTGTTCTCCTATTCTTTCTAATACCTCTTCATTTCTAACCTTCTTTATCCACGGTATCCTCATCATTCGCCTGTAACACCACATTTCGAACGCTTCTAATCTTTTCTTTTCCACCGCGCCCACCATCACACTTCGTTTCGCATCCGTACTTAACCTATGCGACGCATTTATTTAATTGTCCACAAATATCTACTAGGTACTTTATCAAGAAAAATGAGTGGAAGGAAATAAACATGCGGCCTAAGGCACTCTTTATTTTATGGTATCGCGGAACTTAATGCATCATTGGTTGTAAGTACGTTCGTATGTAACTTGAAATCTATAACGGTGTGGCCCACCTTCGGCAAATGCGAAGCAAAAAGCTGGCTAAGGCCCTGACTTAAGGCAATCAACTCAACATAGCATTTACATTTATTACAATTTATTGCTAATGATTATTACACAAAGTAAGAAATGTGACCTTGATAACTTACTATTGCCAGAACACAAAGGAGTTGGATTGATTAGGATTATTTTTAGGCCATTCCAAGCTTGAGAAAAAACACGGAACGAAAGTCATAATACTTTTTGTACATGTAAAGTATTGAAAAAAATCAGAAACAGAAACATATAGATCATACCTAATTGTAATGAGTAAATTACCTTCCGTTGAGTTTCTGCATTTTTTAAGGCATGAAGTGTACAGAGCAGGGATGTAACGGAGGTAGTTTTATCGGAACCGAAGGCGAAGTCGGAGTTTTTAAATTTGCTGAATCGGAGTCGGAATCAGAGTCGGAGGCAGGGTCAGAAGTGGTGGCATGAGAGAGAATTTTTATTTAAGGACAATTAAAACATTATTTAGTCAATTTTTTTTCCTTTCAATTTTCAATTATAAAACAATGAAAAAATAATTGACGATAGAGTGCTCAGTGCACGTAGTGGAAGTCGGGGGATTCCCCGCGCGACATGTATGAAGTTCATACTATGAAGTCGGAGCCGAAGTCGGAACCGAAGGTGTAATAATAATCGGAAGTTCCGACTTAACGGAACCGGAGTCGAAGCTCCGTAACATCCCTGGTACAGAGTACCATTTCGAATTTTGTATCACAGAAATTCAAAGAAATGGAAATAAATCAATTATGCTTCTGAAATTTATGCAACACTTTACCATTTGCCGATCCAATTGAGGAAATCGGTGAAATTTCCTTTCTCAATAGCTCTACTACTTATGGTTTACATATATATCTACTTCAGTATTGTAAGAAATTTTGTGTGAGTGAAATTGAATTGGCAGATCTGCTCCTGAACATCAAAAAACAACATAAAAATAAAAGAATAAATAACATAAAAAATAACATTTTTAAAGAGACAAGAAAACACAGCTTGTGTCTGTTCTGTCTATAGGGTTGTTCGGAAAGTCATTTCGTTTTTTCCCGACAGAGGATTTAATTGTATTCTTTTGGACCCAACTTCACATTTAAGCCGTATAATTTTTATATGCTTTGAGAGCTCATATAGCAAGGCTTGTGTGTGAAAAATTCCAATTAATTCTACGCAGTAGTTTTTGGTTGGTGCCCTTTTAAATATGGAGAGCGATAAGCAGCATTTTCGACATATCTTACTGTTTTACTACAGAAAGGGTAAAAATGCTGTTCAAGCCAGAAAGAAATTGACTGATGTGTATGGAGAAGGTGTGTTGACAGTACGCCAGTGCCAGAACTGGTTCGCTAAATTTCGATCCGGCAATTTTGATGTCGAAGATGCACCACGTTCGGGAAGGCCGGTTGAAGCTGATAAAGACGCGATAAAGGCATAAGTTGATGTAAACCGGCGAATAACAACACGTGAGATCGGATTGAGGTTAAATTTATCAAATTCAACAGTTTATGACCACTTGCAAGGCCTGGGATCATCCTCGAAGCTCGATGTATGTGTTCCCCGTGTTCTCACACAGAGAAATCTGTGTCGCCGCATTGACGTCTGCGATTCGCTTCTCAAACGTCACGAAAATGATCCGTTTTTGAAGCGCATNGAGGTTGTACACCGTTTTTACAGATATAGAACAGTTTGCAGTCTTCAGCATGTGCAAATGTTGGATGAGGAAGTGCTCGTCCATCAGGCCCGAGAACTTCACCATCGGGGCATGAAAAACCATCATCAAGGACCTCTAACAAAGAAAAATTAAATGTCCTTTAAATCAACAGGCCCATAAACGTATTTGACTTTATTTGATGTTAAAATGAAAGTTGCAGCTGGACTTCATGGGTTCTTTGAAATTCAGTTTCATTGTGCGAGGATAATTTGCAATGTTTTAATATTTTAAAATTGTTCAATAGATTTATATAAAATATATGTTCCTTTAACATCAGAGATTTCCAAACTGAACATGCGTTTGCTAATTGGTCAACCTTATTGGGCAGTGTTTTACCTTTTCTCGATTTTATACAATCTTTTCGCCCACTGTCAGCTTGCCAAGAGCAAGTGCTTCGTGTGTCATCGTATACCAGCCCTGGAGGACATGGAAGTTCCCGAGGGACTCCCTCGACGCAGTTGTAAAACTTATCGCACGCTTCTGGATCCGGATGCCGGAAGAATCCGTTTGCTCTAGGACAGCCTGGCGTTGGCTTGGGTTCCTCTATAAAATGGAAGGTAACTTGTAAAATATACAGAGGGCGTTATAAAAATAAAGAAAGAAAAGCACATCACTCAATCGTTCGGTTTGGTAACTTTATCTGGTAAGTCGAATCGCCATGCAGTTTAAGTTGTAAAATTAAGGTTGATACTTAAAATATTGAATAAACACTGTTACCTGTATTTAAATTATTATTTCATTTATATAATTTATAACATAATTGTAATTACTACAAAAATGATGCACACTTGTCACATCAGAAAAAGAATAATTAATTTAAAGGAATAAATATATAAATAGGACAGCGTAGAAACACCATCTGTAGAAATTTGCTGTTTATTGTGGAACTCAAAAATGTTAAACAAGGTCCTTTTCCAATGAGGATTACGGCTTATCAAACTGAACTCATGGTGACAAGTACGTCAATAAATAGAACAATAGTTTTTTGACGGTACTGTGTCAAAAGTGTCAGACTCGTTCGTTCTCATCAGCACGCCAGCACCGTTGACAGAAAACAAACGAATCGACTTTCTGTCATTAAACAGCTTTCAATGTAAGACTACACTGTAAGATTCAAATTTATTAACTTTAGTACAAATTATGTATTTCTGGCAATCCTACAAATATTAATTGTTTCTATGTTATTTATTGGTACAATTTCTTTATTATTTGCTTGCTTTGTCAATTATTTATCATTCAGTTTTGTGGTTAAGAAGAAGACCATTTCTTAAATAGTTTATTAATTATTCATTAAAAGTACATAAATTCACTTTACATTTTGTTCTGATGATGTAAAAATTACTGAAACGTAATTATAATAAGGGGTCTCAGAACTGTTGAAAACAAAAATTAGAATTATTATTCATATTATACTCAATGATGGCTTCTTTACTAGTCTATTTGTTTATTGCTAGTGGTTTTGTCTTATCTTTGTAGTACTCCTCGCTAAAAAACAAAAAGAAAACGTAATCATTATTGGTGAACTTAGTGATTTGTATAATTTATGTAAAGGAAGTCGATAAAATAGAATTGGTATGCCAGATACTTCCGGCAGTTTTTAGACATGCATACCGAAATATTTTTGTTAAACACATTAAAACAAGTAAAATTATACGCACTAATGGTAAAATTTCACCCTCTTTCAGACCCTTTAAGTAGTACACGTCCTTTCGGCTAAAAAAATTTTTAAAATTCGCATTGTTGGTAAAAAAATTTTTTTTGTTACAAATAATTTTCTTTAAAATACTTTCGGCTAAGTAAATTAACGCGTACCAAGGCCATTTTGTTTGTATAATTGTCAATTATCATTTTTTTTAAGAATTTTACAATTCCGCGATGAAGGTACTTTCAATGTCACCGGCTCCTCACCCATAAGGACATCAGCCTGAAAACCGGTTGGACGCGCACCTCCACATCTTCCTGTCTTGAGGTACCTAATCTTCGCATTTCTTGAAATTTAGAACAACCTTTTCTATCTTTAGCATTTTTAACAATTCTAACGTTTTAAATTAATCAAAAGGTTGTACTTACCATCCAGGAACGTTAGCAGGATCGTCGCATTTCATGGTATCCTCGTTGTAAACTTCTCCATAGTCGCAAGCTCCTTTCTGAGGTTGTACACCGTTTTTACAGATATAGAACAGTTTGCAGTCTTCAGCATGTGCAAATGTTGGATGAGGAAGTGCTCGTCCATCAGGCCCGAGAACTTCACCATCGGGGCATGAAAAACCATCATCAAGGACCTCTAACAAAGAAAAATTAAATGTCCTTTAAATCAACAGGCCCATAAACGTATTTGACTTTATTTGATGTTAAAATGAAAGTTGCAGCTGGACTTCATGGGTTCTTTGAAATTCAGTTTCATTGTGCGAGGATAATTTGCAATGTTTTAATATTTTAAAATTGTTCAATAGATTTATATAAAATATATGTTCCTTTAACATCAGAGATTTCCAAACTGAACATGCGTTTGCTAATTGGTCAACCTTATTGGGCAGTGTTTTACCTTTTCTCGATTTTATACAATCTTTTCGCCCACTGTCAGCTTGCCAAGAGCAAGTGCTTCGTGTGTCATCGTATACCAGCCCTGGAGGACATGGAAGTTCCCGAGGGACTCCCTCGACGCAGTTGTAAAACTTATCGCACGCTTCTGGATCCGGATGCCGGAAGAATCCGTTTGCTCTAGGACAGCCTGGCGTTGGCTTGGGTTCCTCTATAAAATGGAAGGTAACTTGTAAAATATACAGAGGGCGTTATAAAAATAAAGAAAGAAAAGCACATCACTCAATCGTTCGGTTTGGTAACTTTATCTGGTAAGTCGAATCGCCATGCAGTTTAAGTTGTAAAATTAAGGTTGATACTTAAAATATTGAATAAAATAATTCGAAGCGGTCTGTATTCCGTCGAAACTGCCAGACGCAGATCGCGATTTCGATCTTTGTGGATCTCATCAGCGCGTCGCAGACAGCTCCGACAGAACACAGACCAACTTTTACCTGCTGTCTTAACAGCGCGTTTTAGAAAATACTACAAATGGTGTGGTAAACGCCATCTGTAGCACGGTGCTACATTTTAGGATTACGGATGCTCCAACATGGTCTGGATGTGTTCTGAATACAGACCACATCGAATTAATTTATTCGATTATGATAACGTGCCTATCACGTTGAGGTTAGCTACGCTGGGATTCGTTTCAGCAAGTAGATATCCATATATTTAAATGGACCTTGTTGGAGCATACGTAATCCTAAAATGTAGCATCGTACTACAGATGGCGTTTACCGCGCCATTTGTGGTATTTACTTAAAATATTAACAAATTGATTTTGTCCTTTTTTCTCCTACTTTAACTGACTTCCAAGCAAAACCATATGGATTTCTCCCAATTTTCAGTTTATAAAATATCGTCATACAAACGTACTACGGTGAAATAAATTTTATGTAAAATGTTCTAGAGAAGATGACAGATAATACCTGTAACAATAGAAATTGCCCAAAAATCTAGTTTCTTAGGATTTTTCATCCCTTTTTCTACAAGGTTACTTTATCGATAGACAAATTTTTTGAATCTGTCACTTAATAAAGTTCAAAACGTTTGTGAAGATTTGGAGACTTCAACGGTGCGTTAGACGACAAACCCGAATTATTTGTACATTATTATAATTATATGAAGGTTTTATAATGAAATTAATTGAAAATACATCCACAATTGTTATGCAAAGTTAGTAACAAAAAGAATTTTACCTAGTACCTATTAAATTACATATCTATAAACCTTTAAACTCAAAAATACAGGAAAATAAAGGTACCTAGACATTCTATACTTTCTTCTTGTTTTTTTACTCTCTCTCCGATAATTTTTCCTTAAATATTAAAGCACTAATTTAACTTACGCAATTCGGTTCTTTCACCACATTCCACATTGGTTGGAATGTCGCACCTTTCGTATTTTGGGTCACTATCTTCGAACACTAAACCATCGGGGCATAACTTCTCTTCAGGAATGCCATCTACACAATCGTAGTACAAATCACACTGTATCGGATCCGGGTAATACCCCGACTGTTTCGGACATTTGAATTCTTGTGAGTAACTTCCAACTGGAATATAAAAAAATACAGATTTACGATTGTAGCAATTGTTAGATAAATACAATTCTAAATGCATGCAGGTTAGGGGGTGTATAACCCCCCCCCCGCCATTACGATTTACTCATTTCTCATCATTCGCCTGTAACGCTACATTTCGAACGCTTGTAGTCATTTTTTTTCTGCCGCGCTCCCCGTCCACGTTTCGCACCCGTACAGCGCCGCGTTCCAAACGTACACCTTTACCAATCTCGCTAGCATAGAAGGGAGCTCTTCTTAATAAAGCTGACTTGGCCCTACGTTATTTATTTGTTTTATATCTCTACTATTCTTCTATCTATAAATTATCTGACTTCCTAGATACCGAAAATCAGCGACTTCTTCTAATTTTTCATTAATAGAAAATACATTATTTTTGTCTTTAAGATCAAAAGTAGACGCCATTACAGTATTTTTGAATACAAAATTGGCTTTGTCCATGACTCCAGGTAATAAGAAAATTGTTTGTTAATAACCACACACCAGAAATCAACATTCACTTTTTCTTTCAAATTATTACTTAATACTAATCTATTTCTTTCTAATTAATAGATTCCTCAAAATAATGAACGGTAATCACTCCAGATTGTGAAAATACTACAAACGGCACAGTGAGCGCCATCTGTAGCACGATGCTACATTTTAGGATTACGTAAAATGTGGCATCGTGCTACAGATGGCGCTCACTGTGCCGTTTGTAGTATTTTCTGAAACGCACTGTTAAGACAGCAGGTAAAAGTTGGTCTGTGTTCTGACGGAGCTGCCTGCGACGCGCTGATGAGATCCAAAAAGATCGAAATCGCGATCTGCGTCTGGCAGTTTCGACAGAATGCAGACCACTTCGAATTAAATTATTTTACTCCAGATTGTGTTTGTTGATGATTTGTTGTTTTAAAAAACGACATTATTTACAGTTGCTTATTTGTACGTAACATAACATATCAACGGCTTTATAGAAAGGTATAATATTCTATAAAAAAACAGACGTAATTTCGATAGTACCTACCCAACATTTATCATACTCGAAAACTTTCAAATAACATGCCAGACATTCGAAATATTCTTAGGTTTGGCAACCTCCTTTTGAATTGCAAAAGGCCGTTGCATTACAATGTTGCAAAGTCAAAATTCGACAGCAACTTGTGTAGGGTTGGGCAGATAAAACAATTCACACCCGTTTTAAGGTTTCACAATAAGAAAGTTGAATTGGTTGTTTTTTAGTAACCGACAATGCAAAAGCTGCAGTTTGTTTAAACCAACTAAGATAGAAAAACGATTGCTATTGTATAGGATATACGAGGGTGGATTGATAAGTTTCCGGCCTAACCAAGAGATGACGCCACTAGGCCTACCTTGAGGTGACATTCTATAGTACCATCCTTGGATAGCTTGTAGCTATAGTTTCAGCCCGATCTCCTTGCTAGTGTAGGTTTGACAGCACGCTGAACAAGACGCCTCTGTGGTTTTCGTAAAAATGGAAAAGCAGGAAAATCGTGCTGTCATCAAATACTTTTATTTGAAGGGGTTAACGCCGAAGGAAATTAAAAAAGAGATGGACTCAACACTGGGGACATCCTCCCCGTCATATTCAACCGTTAAGCAGTGGGTTTCCGAGTTTAAAAAGGGTCGTGTGAGCACCTCTGATGGGCCTCGCTCAGGACGCCCCGTTGAGGTCACAACTCCAGATATGATCGAAAAAATTCATCAAATAGTGCTGGGAGACCGCAGATTGAAAGTGCGTGAGATAGCTGAGACCTGTAAGATGTCATATGAACGTGTGCAACATATTTTGCACCAACATTTGCATATGGAAAAGCTCTGTGCAAGATGGGTGCCGCGTTTGCTAACAGTCGACCAAAAATTGATTCGAAAAAACATTTCTACCGCAAATTTGTCATTGTATAAGCGTAATCCAAGCGAATTTTTGCGTCGATTCGTAACCGTTGACGAAACGTGGGTCCACCACTACACTCCTGAAACCAAAGAACAGTCTAAACAGTGGATTGGACCAGGGGAACCAACTCCAAAGAAGGCAAAAACAATTTTTTCGGCGAACAAGGTTATGGCTACTGTTTTTTGGGATGCAAGAGGTATTATATACATTGATTACCTTGCAAAGGGTAATACTATCACTGGTCAATACTACGCAGACTTATTGCAACGTTTGAGCCACGAGGTGAAAATTAAACGACCTCATCTGGCGAAGAAAAAAATCTTGTTTCATCACGATAACGCACCAGCGCACACGTCAATCGTTGCGACGGCTAAAATCAACGATCTAAAGTTTGAATTGATGCCGCACCCTCCTTACTCTCCAGACCTAGCCCCGAGTGACTATTTTCTGTTCCCTAATCTCAAAAAATGGCTTGGCGGTAAGAGATTTGCGGACAATGAAGAAGTAATCGAAGCTGTAAATGGTTATTTTGAGGAGCTTGACGAATCAGTCTATAGAGATGGCATTAATAGACTGGAACACCGCTATGAGAAATGTATCAGCCTTGGAGGAGATTATGTTGAGAAATAAAAAAAAAAAATTTTTAAAAACCTTGTTTTTCTTGGTCAGGCCGGAAACTTATCAATCCACCCTCGTAAATTATTGTTGCAATACATTCATTTATAGTTGTAACTCATTATTTCAGAAGGAAATTATATCAAGACGATTGCATAAATTAAAATCAGTGGCGTGACAATAGGGTGGTAGAACGGGCAAAATGCCACGGGTCTCCGGTCTGAAAGGGTCCTTGGCCCAATTGGTGGTGGGGACTGGAGGAGCCTAACATTTTCTATTTAACCATTTTTAGTTTGAACACATTTATAAGAAAATGATATCGCTCAGGTTTAGAACTAATCCACTGTGCTAAGTTTATTGGCGCGGGCCAATGATGCTCGGGGAATCCCCGGTGTCTGTTTTTGAAGGACTGCATTATGAATTACAACATGAAGCTTTTTTATATTAAGAGTCACGGGTCTCAGATGGTATCTATGTTATATCACAGATTAAACTATCAAAAGGTGGTTTTGGATTAAGCCAAAAAAAAGGGAGTTATATTTTAAAAGGGTTAATTTATTTCCTGGTCTCTCTAGCACCTTCAATTGAACATTAACTTCAATTACTAATTGAATAATTCATCCACTAAAAACCCCTGAGCATAGTATTTTTCTTTTAAGTAATAAAATCGATAGCCTGTTTTAATTTTTGTGTCATATTAGGTCGAAATTATATTTAATTTATTATTTTTACTTTTATTTGGAGGAACTGATACTGTGTTGTAGAAAATAAAGAGATAAAGAAAATAAATAGCTATAAATAGAAACTTTTCCGTTGCTCCCATTAACTTTCATTTTCTTTTTTTTTTATTATTACATGGATAATAAAACAGTTTTAATAAATACCTACTAATCGTGAGTAAAAAGTAATGTTTATTGAAACCAGATTATCAGAACGCGGTAATTTCAAGTGAAAATTTCTAGGCTAGGTGTGAATCTACATAAAACTTTTACTTTTCTCGTACCTACATAAGGCGATTTAATATTCACCTTAATAATCAGAAATTTGTGTTATAATTTCTAGTGTAAGGTACAAAAATTTTTACGTATAGGTCAGAAATTTATTGAGATCACGATTTCGAACTTATTAGATCTCATCGGTGCACCACAATCAATCTCGATAAATTACTGATCAAATCAAGGCCTTGCAAGCACTAGAAATACTTTAGTAGCAGCAAATACTCACCAGATGGCGATGCACTACCTTCGTTTAGATATTATAAAAACTGTATTTCTTTTATGTTTCTGTTAAAATAATTTAAACTAATTACTTATGAGTAACTTGCCCATTTATATAACAGATATATATGTTATTATCAACCGCCTAATAAAATAACCTAATTTACGAAGATTAAAAAATACCCATTCAATTTTAAAATTATTTAAATATCATTAATTTAGGTACATAATATTAGTTATCATTAGAAACTTAAAATTAGAGTTTTGTCTCTTAATATATAATAGAAGGTATTCGAGTGACTCATTTAGATACCTTCTCAAATTAGATATTTATTGTCAATTATCTTGATAAACAATTCGAGGCACTTTAATTGATTAATATAATAAGCAATAGACACTTAAAAATTCATTAACATTCTCCAATCTTTTCAATTAGTCGTCGAGACATTGGTTATTAATTAATTCATTTGTAATTGCTATATTATTTTGAAAAACCAGGGAATATTTTAATAACAAGTGCTGATTGACGAATTTTTGTTATTGCCAAGATATTTCAACCCAAAAAACTCAAATTTAAATCATTTTGAGGCCTTTTTGTGTATTTTGTACAGAAAATTTAACGTTGGTATTGACCAGTAACTTCATACTCATCATCATAATATTTACAATAATAAATAATGAAAATTGATATTTTATTTAATTTAAACCAAGGCATAGATAAATAATTTATAGGTAACTGTTACGCTAAGTATATAATAAGACTTAGTTTAGCAAATAATTTGTTACTGTTAATACAATTTATAAAAGAAAATCGATTTTGTAATCTGTTACAGACGGAGTTTAAGATATGAATAGGTGTTAGGCACAAGATTTAACGGTTTATGCCAATCAAACGTTAAGTGCAAGGTTAACTATGAAATTCCAAGAAACATTGCCATATTGCATCATGATCATGATAAATGGATAATAATTGATCTGTTGCACATATAGAGGGTGACTTTTTGCAAACGTCTAGTACAATTAATCGAAAAATATTACAAAAGCTAGTGTCATAAATTCTTCAAAAATTGTAGTTAATAATCTTGGCATCAATTTGGTGTTTGTCCTATCCGAAATTATGGTGTATAATTGTTTAAACAAATACAAAATTGATTATAATTAGAATTATGTTTAAAAGGAGTTTAATTTATCAATTATGTCCTTGGTTTTACCTAACTAACTAGCAAAAAGATTTCTTTCAAAAATTATAAATGTTTGCTATTAACAAATTGTAGGTATACCTACTTACTTTATATTAATAAGTATCTACTATATTTCTATATATAATTAGTCATTTTGTGATATATAAACCTTATTTTTTTTATCATTGAATATACTTGCTCGAGTTTATTTAAAAACTAAACAAAGAACGAAATTAAACAACGGCGTAGAAAAATAGCCTTTTTGAAATTGGCAAATTTTATTTTCGAATTAATGAAGTAAAATAATACAAAATTCCGGATGTACTACACCAGAAACTTCTGGGTAATAATAAGAGTAAAACCTAGTAATCATGGTGTTCCTTTCTAATCCATTACATACTTTTCACATTTTATATATATTATAACGGAATTTTTGAGATGAATTACTTTTTCAGAGCCGGTAAACATACCAAAAGTTTGTAAACACACCGTGTGCTACTCCAAATCCGCGATAGATAAAAAGAAATTGATTTCTGAAAACAGTTGCGCATCATCTGCTAAGCCAACCGTGATCAAAAACAACAATCGTTTATGTTAAAGGACTTACCGAAAAGGCAGAAAAAGAAGACAATCTGTTTGGAAGACGCCATTGAACTAGACGGTTTCACAGCACACCAAAACGGTTTACGAATAGAACGGTAATGTCAATGTGTTCTGTATTGTGAGCGTATGTGACTTAAGTTGAGGTTGCGATACAGTGTGGTGTGCAGACCAAGGAGGTGCAAAATTGGTTGGCCGGTTAGCTGGGAGTGGACACGATGGAAGAAAGTGACAAGATCATGCTGGAGGCATTGTAGCACATCGTCAGTGGTTCCAAACCTCGATAGCCACTAATTTAATTGCAATAATCCTTACTACAGAGAGAGAACTATTAATAAATTTAAAATGGATACAATTTGAATGGTATACTATTATTTATGCTTAAGTTATCTTCTTCAACAATAGTTTGATTGTTTATGTCCATTATTTTAAAAGCAGGATAAGATTGAATAAACTACAATATGTCAGGAATACTCACCCCTAATTACCACAAATAATTCTATTTGAGTGGACACGTGTTTCGCCCACTTCATACATGGGCATTATCAACGAGTATATTCATGTTAAGAAAAATCCATTACTAAAGTTCATACGGGACACAAACAATATTATATCTTGCCCTAAAGATATTAAATATAAAATATCGGTGGGTAATCCCACATTACCCCGTTTATATTGTTTACCTAAGATCCATAAGCCCGGTAAATCGATGAGACCAATAGTTTCAGGTATCAACTCACCGATTTACTTGCTTTCAAAATTCAACACAGGAATTCAACTCTTTACCTGTACCTTTTGATTCATTTTCAATTGAAAACTCATCAGAATTCATTAATAAGATTACAAATATAACATTAGAACCAGGTGAAGTCTTGATTTCCTTTGACGTTTGTTCTTTATTTCCTAGTGTTCCTATCCCTGAGTCTTTGAAATATTTGGAAACACATTTAATCAATAATAACATCAATAAAGATAAAATGGAAGAGTTTTTAAGATTAACTTCATTTTGCATGGATAATACATTCTTCCATAATAGGAAGACTACAACAATATTTTGTATTTTATATCCATAAATATTAGGTATATGAAACTAATTTCCCTTTCAAATCCCTTTTTCTGTATCTTCCCTAAAGTTGAACAGGTCCTTCCTCTCTTCGTTCCGGTTTTGTACTAAAGTAGACCCACAAAAGTTTTTTGTTTGGCTGATTCGACAGCCGTATTTTATCACTTTGTACTTTCTTCTACTTTATACAATATTTAGATGCATCCCGAATGTCAAAGTAATTAATATTTAAAAATTAGAACAGTTAATCAACAGGAATCCTAAATCTAATAAAATGCAATTTTTTTGTTTACTTTACATTCTTGAACAGTCATTGTTTCAATATCAAGAATGATTGGTTGTCTCTAATTTGCAGTTCTAGATATTCACTTTTGGAAATCGCTCGAGAATTAGAAGATCGAGCTTTTCTTGCATGCATATAAATAGCTCCTTACAGGATCTACTAAAGGCCTAAAATTAAAAGTTAGGTAGATTATACCATTGTTGTACCTTGCCATGTTTACTACTAAATTCTCGAATTCATTCAAGGTACAAGGAATAGTTCCTTTGTGAGATTAGTTTGACTGTGCTTTTGCCGTGTTAAACCAAAGGCAAACAATTAATCTAAGACTAATTAACTAGTCCTTGAGACCCCTGGTTAAATTACTGAAGGATCTATTTGCTGTGTAAATTATATGAGCTCGTCCGAAACTGTGTGGACTACGGAAAGTTCACTAACTCTGAATATAAATAGTGGATGAAGAATCTGAAAGGTATAATGAATCCTTAAGTGACTTAATAACTTACATACAAATTTAGACATCTTTTAGAAGTGAGTTAATTTAATACGAAGTATTATTCTGAAAATTCATTTCTGAATTTTTACTCACTACAAACTACCTCAAATTAATGAGGGAAAAATTGTTGTTGTTGTCACACCCCCGCCGGGAATCGAACCCGGGACCTTTGGCTTTACGCACCAATGTTCTCACCAACTAAGCTACGAGAGATGACAACAGCAACAACGACAAACCGTACTTATTAGGTCACAAATCCGTCGAACTAATGTGAATATATAGTGAATATACAATACTATGATTAAGCATACATACAATTTAGACATCTTTTAGAAGTGAGTTAATTTAATACGAAGTATTATTCTGAAAATTCATTTCTGAATTTTTACCCACTACAAACTACCTCAAATTAATGAGGGAAAAATTGTTG